GAGACAGAAAAGAAGCATTTGCCATACACTAAAATGGCCTATCACAATGGATGGTATACTATCGAGCTAGCTTCATCTCCTTTATATATAGATTTAAGTGTTTGAGTATTTTTTTTTTGGCATCTAAATTGGTGTTTTAAATACACTTCACAGAAGATCTTTGTAGTGAAGCTACCAGTTTTACCAAAAATCCTTTAAGGTTTGATGCACAGAGGAGTCCAACCGTTCAAACAAAGTACGTCAAACGAAAATTCACAATGGTTTATCAGCACGTGCATCTAAGCGGTTTACTTCCACTAAGTGTTTTTAAATGTTTGCTCTCTGGGTAGAGCATAAAAATGGTATACACACTACAAGTCTTACTAACTAACTTCATCATCATCAAGTAACTTACATGTATTTTTATGGAGAAATTTGACAGTTAACTGCTTGTCTTATCCAAAATTAAGTAAAGGAAAGGGTAGGAAGGTTGAAATAGTTCACGTGTTTGCTGCTCCATCAAAGCTATTAAATATCTATAATATTTGTTTTTACAAAATAAGTGTGTATTTAGTTTGTGTGAATAAAATTCTACAAGGAAATACCAAATGTAGGTAAAGATGGATTTCAGTAAAAAGAACTTCACAAGGACCTATGAATTTGAAAGAAGTCTTGCATCAATACATTGTAGCACAGCAGTTAGCAATCTGAAGGGGATATCTCTTGATTGTATTTGCAATTTTGCTGTGATTTTCCATGTCATGCAGCATTTATAAAGAGTGTAGTTTTAGCTGTAAGACAGACATTGTGAAAAGACACAAGTTCTCCACCAATGCTATAACCAAGTACTATTAGTACATGTATTGTACACTTGGAGTTATGTCTTTTCCTATGTATGGAAAGACCCTATTCTAGAAAATATTATCCTGAACTGATGTTTTCCGTGGAAAGTCAGCTTTGATATTACTGAGTAATTATCTATCTTGGCTATCAGACCCCAAAGTCAAAGTAAAGGAAGTGTAGATTTATGCGAGTTATAGAAGCCAGGTAGACTGTTAAGTACAGAATAAGAGAGGGCATTGTTAATGTACCTGAAATGATAAAATGGAAATATAGAAACTACAAAGTCACCTAAAAGTTACAGATTTACCTCACCTTATTGTGTTAAATTACTACTTGTTCGGCCCTTGTACTGATGTGGAATGAATAGGTTAAACATCTGTGTTCAGTAAAGTATTATTTCTCTTCTTGCGTTAAGTGCACAAAATTAGACTATAACATTAACACAGTGGTTGCACATTAGAGAGACAGTTTGGGGGGAAGGAATAGACAAGAACCTTTGTATGCCTTTGATGGCAGGAGCGTCAGGTGTGTAAATAGCCCGAGAGGATAGTGCTGCACCCTTTGATGTCTTTGTTGGGTTCAGAACAAATTGTTCACAATAGGAAAACCCTGCAGCATTCTTGTAAAAGCTTGATGATTTGATTGATAGAGTAACGATCGCTTTGGAATGTCGAGTAGTCTTCGGGTGGTGCTCTTCTCGGTTTCTCAGCACCAGGTTTTGTACACATCTTGCTAGAGCATACCTTACTTGGTATCAAACCTGAGCAGAGGTAAGAAATTGAACAATACTGATGTGTGCTTTGTTAGCTGTGTCAGGTTGCCTTTGAAGTCTTGCAATGACTGACAGGTTCCTTCCTCCCAAGCTTTCAGAGTCCCTAGCCCAGGAACACCATTCAGTGAGCTGACATCTCAGTGCCTGGGGCAGCCGAAAAAGATGTCAAACCCATTGACTGCGTCTTTCGGTAGACAAATTCTAATGCTCTGTGTCTTTTACTCTTGCAAGTGCAATGGCAAAGGTTGTGACATGTTGTTTAGCCTCGATTGTTTGTCAATTCACGCCAGAAGGAATTCCCTCCTGGTGGCATGAGGGTCAGGGAGAAGCAGTGCAGTTCACACCAGGCACAATGCCCCCCACATTTATATCTTTCCAAGTTTACAAAAGTCGGTCAATTGAAAGTTCTCCCTGATCTGCATTTCAAGTGGTGGGTCTTTGTGTGGAGATGGGGACTGGCTAATTGACTTGATATTGAGGGTGCATCATGATGGAGGAAAGGTCTCCACAGTACCAACTCCCAGTTCCACTCTCTTTGAATTTGTGCATTTTCGAGAAATGTGAACAAACTAGCCATGCTTTTCCTGTAAATTGCTCCCAACTGATAGATACCAAACATTTTGAACATAACACTATAGAGCTCTTTGTATGTCAGCGTTCATGTAAAACTATGGCAGCTATAGTGGTGTTCAGTATTGCACTTGAGTTGCTGGTGCATTTGTCTTCATCTAGAATTTTATATTCCTTGCTTTTCTAGAAGAATAACAATATTGAGTGATATTTAAGAGTGATCAAGACTACAATTCGTAGGACATGATTGAACTTAACCAGTTCTCATAAGAGAAGTGGTATGTTATGGTATGCCATGCAAATAAAATCAAATTGTAGGTAGGGTCCCCTGGAAGCTATGCACAGTTATTTCTCCAGTTCCATGCTCTCCAATAGGTAACAGATGTGTATGGGCGTGGCCCTTCCTTTCTCTCTCCTGAGAACATTTTTGATGCATGGGAGTTTCTCCTTTTCAAACCACCTCAACTGAGTGACAGCATCATTGATGGGGTAGTTCCAGATAGGGACTAAGGGAGAAGTTGTTTGTTCCTGGGAAGGGGCATGTGTTTCCATGTGTGTATTTGCAGCCACACAGGCATGTTGTTGACGCACCGAAAATTGTGCGCCCGCATTCTCATCAATATACATGATTTACCACAGGTGCATGCTCCCTATATCATTTTCAGTAATGATACTAATTTTCATTGCTACCGTTGTTGCATACATGTTTTGTGGGAGAAAATTAGACTGCCAGAGTACAAAAATGCATTCCAAGAGCATGGAGATACTGAATTTTATATGACCTTTTTATTGATATTTAATTATGCATTACTTCTCTGAGACTGAAGCAGTCTTCCTTATTGATTTGGGCTGTTTGTAAGAGAGGTTGCTGGTTTTGAGAAACACCTTTTAGACTGACCAGAGATCATCTCGTTTCAGAATGTCTGTATGAATAAAGAAAAAAAACGACAAAAACAAACCCTATCAGGGATCTCCCCAGAAATTTAGGACAGAATGGAGGAGGGTGCGAAATATCGGTAAATTTGACCAAAGAACCCTGGAAAAGGGTGTAAAAACACTAGTTTTGAAAATTAACAGGGTGGAGCTGAGATAAGGATGGGTGGAGGAGCTCCACTGCTCCATTGTTTAGGGAGGTCCCTGCCTATCAGATTGCCATTGCATCGCCAATGTAAGAATTAAGCCTTTGGATACTGTTTCTTGTGTGTCCAGTTTTGTCCGCTTTGCCTTGCCTTTTACTAAAAAAGTTTTACAATTTACATCATACATGTAACTGTAGCCAGTACACTCCTGAATGTCAGTGGATAATTTGGTCAGTTAGTATGCCTTGGTCATTTTCAAAACTTACACAAGGTTATCCATTTACAAGTACTGTTATCCCAAATCAATCATAATGCACCATTGATCTTAGTTAGGAAACACCATGATGATACTAGTTATCAATACTCTTTTATTTTTTTTTACTAAGTTATATTTCCAGGAATTCTCCTTGTAATGTGGAAAGTAGCATTTTTATTTTGCCACGCTCTTGAGTTTACCGCTCCAAATTACTTACTTGTAATCCTGCCTAGGAAGCGTTTATCCAGGTATTTAGTCTCCAGCAGGAGGCTTATTAGGCAGGCATGCTGTTATCCCTTAGTCAAGGGCAAACTGCAGAAACCAATTGGCCAGCACTTGACCCTTCGGCATAGCACCCATGAACTTGTTGTGTCCATTGAAGTGGGGCAGCAGCTAGCCTTCGGGATGTCATCAGAGATTTTTCCTGAGTTTATGAAACCTTGGGGGGAAGTCTAAGGTTAGACTCACAAAGTTGCTTATTTATCCTGCTCCCTGTAATGTGGTATAAATACAAATCAAGACATTTTTACCCACACATGCTGCTATGATGCTAATAACCTGTCCCTCTTTCCGTACTTTCCTTGCGCAGAAAGTAATCAGGAAAGGAGGCTTCCGCAGCCTTGGAGAGGGAGAACGTGTGGAATTTACCTACAAGGTCTCAGAAAAGGGACTGGAGGCCACGTTGGTAACGGGACCAGGGGGCGCCGAGGTTGAGGGAAGCAAACGGAGACCAAGACCTGTTGCACAAAGAAGAAGAGGGAACAGGTATACCTCACTCCATTTTCAGGTGTACTGTAACTTAGCATAAGGAAGAGTATTTCTGAATGTGTAACAAGTTTGTAAGCACCATTCCACAAAAACGGGCAGCCTTTTTAGAAAGTTTTTAAAAAAAGACTCTAACCAAAGATTTACTCAGATTTGGCTGTCCAAGAAAAAAGGTTAAAGGCAGAAAGTCTTGAAACTAATTGAAGTTAGTCTTTTTGGGCACAGGTGCAATATGAGTGGTCACTCTCATTAAACATGCTAACAGACTTGCCCAGATTTTAATTTGACTAATTACCTAGTGCCACTCCAGCTATTTCCACAGATGAGCTATTTCCAGTCCTCTGATAACAGCAGCAGTGACTAGCAGAATTTCTAATAGGCCGCTCTAAGAAGGAAGTCAATGTATTAACATTATTGCCGGTCAGTAGGTATGTAATGCCAGGTGGCACACCATCTGGCCCATGACCTCCTGGGTACAGAAGAAGTGTAAGGGGGAAGAAGTTGGCGACTTTGGCTACAGAACAAACGCGTGCACCCCCTCTATACCCTCGACTTTGTCCTCATAAGATACTACTTGTCTCAAGGTCAAATCTAAGCGCTGGGGAGAAGGTGTAGTGTCCGGGAAGCACCATATGTTTTTGGCAGTTAGAGTCATGTCCCAGCAGTTGGCATCACTGAACATTGCTCCCCTTCTTCTACTCTGCCACCTAGTGTGTAGGCCAATAGCAAGGGAGAACAAAAGAACAAGGAACAATACATTTTAAAATAGATGAAAACTGGTAACCTCGCCATGATGGAGAGAGCAGTACAAAGAGGAGATGCCTATTTTATATTGCTCAAGTGTGCAGCTGCTCATTTACCATAGCAACAGCGGCAGGTATCCTGAGTGAACAAAAGGAGGACAGAGAGAAAAGTACAAAGTCATTGTGCAGGATTCTGAGAAGAAGTACACAGAGCGGGGTAATAATGCTGCAGTATTCTGGCAATAGTGATTATGACTCCTTTGAAAGCTCAGATCGTGTAGGTTGCTGGTACAAATGAGGATGGGCTTGAAATAGCAAATCCGTAATTGGCATCGTGATTCATTGTGACGTGCTGAAAAGGACTACTGTCACATGGCTACACACCTGAACGTAAGATCAGATACACATACCAGTATAGAGGTGAAGGTAGTACCTGAAAAAAATATACTGATGAAAATGAAAATAATCTGTAGTCTTCAGTGACAGAAGCAGTAAACATAATGTTTGTTTTTTTCTTTACTTTTGGTACCCCAAGCAAAAAAACTATCCACAAATGATTTCACTCTGTAATGGTTATACTAGTAGTAGTACTGATTCTCTAGATGTAACAAATCTGCCACTACACAATTTTTGTTACAAAAGGCAATGGTCATAACAGTATACAGTGAGCACTGGAACACATGACTGAAATGACTGGTGAAACAGGTCTTAGCCACAGCTGACCTGGTCTGGTCAGTAGGCACTGCAATATTTTATGCACCCAGCTTTACAATATATTCGATAGTTGTGTAAATCTGTAGGACATCACATACACAGGCAGTCAAGGTAAAGCCACCAGTAGCACAAAAGGGGGAGGGCAGTCTGTTAGAATGAGCGTGCAGGTACAATATCGCCGGAGTGCATTAGATACTATATGATCGCATGCCACTATGATTTATGCTGACATGTAAGTCCACTGGATGTACATGTATTTAATCCACGAGGGTTTAGCCTATAAACCATGATTGGTCCACCTTGTCCCACAACCACTCTGGTCAGCCAATCCACCAAAGCCTGACAAAAATCTATATGATTATGAGCTTTCTTCCACACCAAGGCAAATGCCCTCCCTTTTTAAGAAACATCGGTATGTTATACAGGGGTGACGGAAAGGACAATCTGTGGTGAAACCTGTGGAAGATTGATAAAGAGCTTTACTTCTAGCAGGCTTGGGAAAAACCTGGACCATACATTGATCAAGCAGAATTGGGCAGGACAGAAATCTGCATCGTTGTTTTAACCCTACTGACATCTGAGGAATGATGTATGTCCCGCATACTTGTACATTATTTTAGGTGGTAAATAAAATGGGTGCAAAGGTCATCCAGTGGGAAAGGATCATGGGTAGGGCAGTTAAAATGTCTACCGGTACAAGACTTACCAGCTAAGAACATCAAGATTTGGTAACAAAATTGATTCAGTGAAGTATTACACATTATAGTACACCAACCAAATGAAAATCAGTTCACATGTACATGTATACCCTCTTTGTTTCCAAACTGTCCATTGGGCACAGTGTGCCCTTTGGTCTAAAAGGGTACTGGGCATATTGCCAGCTTGAGGGCCTTCAGGCAAAGGGAAACATTCTAACCAGTCTCTCTTAATCTTTGTCCAGACTCTGTGATTGTTGACTCTTTCTCAAAGGTTGAGGGAGGCCCATCCACATTGAGAGATAGTATTGCATTTTAGGCGCATCAGGCTAACAAATATGGGAGGGAGAATTTTGGCCACTTGCCAGCACAGGGCACAGCAAACAGGAAGTGCCCATCTTGGTTACCATGGAGATGACCCTTACTACACCAAGATCAAAGCATCAACACCACATGTTTAGTTTCTTCTCTTTGTCAGCCCAAATCAAAGACGGGAACCCTTGTCAGATAGTCTGTCCTTGAAAGTTGAAGTTCGCAAACCTGTCTATGTACATGTCATCCTGTCTGGAACATGTGACTTACTGTCAAACCGACCTGTGTGATAGATCTTTGAGATTTCAGGCTCATAACATATGATTTGTGGCTCCACCCCCTTCTTTGATATTAATTATCTTTGACATCTAAAAACAACAACTGGCAATCAAGACAAAAGTTGAGCAGTAATGAGAGGTGAACTATAGCCTTTGTGTACATGGCCTTGACCCCACCAAGGTTGGTATACACACCAGTGGTGGAAAATTGCAACAGGTACTGATGTACAGTATGGTTGAATACATTTTTAAGGAAGGAAAATAAACAGTCTGTTTGGTCACAACATATAGCAGGGTGCATATCTGACAATGAGGTACTTCATCTTTACCCTTGTGCTATGTGTATGGCTAGCAGTACAAGAGACTGCAAATAACATGGGGTGTAAATGATGATAAATGATTTGTTTTTCACCTGGCCACCCAAATATGTGGTATACACAACTCCCCACCAAAGCCTTTTTACGCAGAGACAATGCTTTAAACTGCTTAACATTTGCATTGGAAACAGTTCAAGGTTCGCATGAGGACATGCGACCGGAAGTATTATTTTACCACCATTAGAAAAGGTCAAAGCACAAATTCAAGGCCCTCTTCATACTGGAGCATTTTGTATGGTCTATGTTTGTGATGTTTGGTTAGCATTAGCTACATGACCTGAAATTGATTTAGAAAGCCCCATGTATCTGTAGATAGTATCATAGTAGTATATAGTAGAAGCCTGGATTGACAATAATGAAACAAGACGTCTAATTTCCTAACGCACCATGTTAACTAGTTGGACTCCAATGACAAACCCCCCCAAAACTGTGTTGCGGGGCTACAATGATGGAGAAACAGTAGGTGAAATAGCCTGATGAAAGACCACTCCTTGTCACATCATCAGGGCACAAATGGACAGGAAATTAATCGTTCTAACTGTAATTTGCATATGAACTAGGAAATGACCCTTGACCTGTCCTTGCATGTGCTCCTGAACTGTTCCATGTGCCTGTAACATCAATGTACTACCGGTACTGTCATTTTTGTGATGTCTGGACCCCGCTTTTGGTGAAATCTTTCACAGTGAAGGAAATGCAAAGTCTTGTTTTCTGACACTCCATCAGATGCCCTGTAAGCTTAATGCCAGCCTTGAACAACAGATAAACAGGAAGGGGTTAAGTGTCCATAGGGCCTAATCAGTAGCTCTACTGTTCAATTGGATCCTCCTAAGTATGGTCAAGGGCATTAGCATGGTAAACCATCTTTCTGTAATGTACAATGTAGAAACATACTGACTGGTTCTAATACTGACTCCATTTCTGTTGTTTTTACATTAAAGTGGTATTTGAAATACATAAGTCATCCCCAGTATTTGTTGTGAGTTTTGGTAATGTGAGTTTCTACCACTCACATGGTCTGCTGCGGCTAATTATGTTTTTTTTTAAATGATACTTTTGTGTTTCAGGTGTTACAACTGTGGTGAAATAGGGCACCACGCGAAAGACTGCACACTGGAACCGCAGCCCAAGAGATGTCACATTTGCAAGTCGGACGACCATCTGAAAAAGGACTGCCCCCAGAGGGACAGAGAGGAGGAGAGAACTAGGAAGACTCAGGGTGAAAGAGATAATAGTAACAACAGTAACAGTCAGGGTCACATGCAGGAAGGTCCAGCTGCTGCTGCACACTGATAGCACTGTGCCGAACAATATGACTCATACCATAGGCTTTCCTCAAAACCAAAGGTCACCAAATCTACAGCAGGGAAACTCTCAGGAGATATCTCAACCAAGAAAAAATGATCAATCTTATTTTGTTCATGGAAAGATTCTTCTATTTATATGAGACACACTGGTGCCCAGTAGAGTAACCTGAGAGATCAGTACTCCCCTCTATGAAGAGATGATACTTATTGAGAAGAGAGAAAAAACAACAAGTCTACCTAGAAACAAATCTAGTTGGCAGCGTGAAAAGTGCACTATATTTTTCTACCACTTGTAATTTATTATCATTAATATTTATGATAATAATTGCCTCAGGGTAAGAAAGTGTTTACTCAGGGATTTTGTATTACATGTAGCTATACAACAGCTTAAACTGCAGTTCCTTCTGTCAGTCTTCCCTTGCTGCCATGTTTGTGCATCGGTGTTTGGCGACTCATTTTGAATCCCCGTCATATGTGCTTCCCCCCCAAAATGGTCGTTTTGGATCAGTAGGAAATTGTCCTTGACCAGCTGGACTGAATATACCTCCAACAGAATGTCTTGAACTAGACATACCAGGCCAGCCTGGGTCACTGAACAAGCATGTTTGCTCCCAAACAGTGTTCTCTTGGAAAAAAAAATTGCATGCCAGTGAAAATAGAAGAGCCAGAAGAGAGAAATGTGCTCTACTGGCGTAAAAACCAAATATTTCCTGTTTTTTTAAATACTCATGTTCCACCACAAAAATACTAAACTTTCAACATGCTCAAGTCAAGATGGGCATTATGTAACTGACAGGAAGATCTGTACTTTTTCCTGTCCCAGCAGCTGACTTGTAATGTTTTAGTACTGCAGATGTATAAGCACTTCTTAGGAAGGACTATGGCAAACATTAGAGTACACAAATGCTAGTAAGCCATTTACAGTGAGAGCTAAGGCCATTACTTTCAAAGCTGCTGTGTTTTCTCCCATGCAAATGTGATGTAAATGAATAAGAAGTCCCCATTGTCGCTAGTAGGGTAACACTGGGCTTTCTTTTCACCATACAGTATCAGTCTCACAGCATTGTACGGAAGCCATTTAGATTCCTGTACCTGTGTTTAGAATGGAAAGAATGTTCAAAGTAATGCAGTAGAATAATATTACAAGACGATGCAGTTAACCTGATGAGATGGCATTTACTGTGCTTAGTGTTGTTTTAAGTGAGGTAACTGCACAACGTGTACTGTATTATTGTTACCTACCAGTTATTCTACAGTACAGTAGTAGGGAATGAGCTCAGTACTCCTGTAGAATGGTCACTTGCTGCCATACTTCTGTTCCGGATGCCAATGAAGAATGTTAGGTGTAGCAAACAGACGGGTATCATGTCTTGTTAGGCAGATTGGTGTCAGAAGTGTTGGCAGCAGAAGGCCCTGGCAGATGATTGGCTTCACTGCTGAAAAACTCTTTTCTCTTTGGTTAGGACTGTGGAAAAGGAAAATGAGATGTTAACAGCTCTGTCATCTCATAGCAGTTTTTACAAAAATATGCTATTAAACCTGTTAGCATGTGGACCTACGCCTTCCTGGGTTAGTAAATACTGTTATCCTTAACAACATACCTCTTTGCTATGTTGGAGTACCAAACATTGTCGTTCTTACACAATAATCCCAAAGCAAAAGTTAACAAATGTGCAACATGTAAATCGTTAAGTCAGATAGTTCTTTGCCTGCTCAAAGTGAACTTCAAGATGTGGTTAAAGGATATGAATGTGTTTGAGAGTTTTCTTAGCCACCAATTGAAGTTTCCCAAGAAAGGAGCACATGTCAGTCTCAGGAAAGCTGAGGATGAATCTGCCTCTAAGTTTTTCACCTGAAATAGCTTTCTTGTCAAGTGTATACAGTATTGTTAGTCACATTTCCTACCAACCAAAAAGTTCCAGAACTGCTGTTCTGAAATGCCTTACCAAATCCTGGGCAAAATTGTGACTTGCCCAAAAACTAAACCAAAGAAGCTCCAAGAAACCAAATTTTGGGTGTAAGTATTTTTCTCTTTCAACACTAAATCTCTTTAAAACAAAAGCTTTATAAGAAATCCTGTATATAGATAGCCATCCTTACAGAGATTAGAGATGTTCTCGCTAGTTGAAGTACAAGCCAATGTCATCAGTGTAGGTAGAGAGTAGGCCTTGTAAAAATTTTCACGAGCCATGTTGATTCTAAATGCACATCATAGCACCTAGTTTTACTCATAGTAAGTGTATATGTGCACAAACTTTATTAAGGTAATTGTTAAGTATCTAGTTCTGGGGATAGTAGGGCTTTTTTTATAAATGGATCAAAGACAATCCATGCTGCTCCTTTGATGTACTTTTGTATAAAATTTAAGATGTTTTTAGATTTTATCCTGACATATTTGTATGATTATGAGAAAAGGAGTTCTGATTACAGAGAGGTGGAGAAAGCCTCAAGTTGGACACAAAATGTTGTGGAACTTTCACAGCATTCTGAAATGTATCAAAAAGGTGAAAATACACTACAAGGTGAAAATAAATTGGACATTGGCGTTGATTGTACTTTTCTTTGCTCAAAGACGCACTTGAGCTTATTTTACTTTAAAAACTTACCAAAAAAAACCAACAGTTGCCCGCATTTCCTTGAAGAATGCAAAGAATAAAATATTCCCCAAAAGGGCTGATGTTGAGCCATATTATATTGCGAAAAGAAGAGGAAAGCAGCTAGGAGTGTCTTTAAGGTCTTACTTAAATAATCAACTTCATGATAACCACCAATTTCTGGTACTGTTTACTACTGTTGACTTGTTTCTTAGGATTTGTAATTAATGTAGGCACAAATAACCATTTGGATGTATGTTTCTAAGGTTAATCATTCCTTTTGTCAGGGAGTATGGGCTGTAGCCAAACCCTGTATGCATCTTACTGATAACCGACTGTAACCTTTGTACTGTTTTTAGTCCACTTTTCCCAGGTTGTAAAGAACAATCTGTCAGAAGCCACAGTTTTGCCGATCAAGACCTATACAACAGTGTTGTCAAAGAATAAAATGATTTATTTACAGAACATATTCTTTGGAGTATCTTTATTTCTGGTGATGATTCTGGGGCTAGCATAATAGTATATTATACATGTAGAGTTTGCCTGAATTAGAAAAAAAATTGGTGGAATGTCTACATATTCCATGCATGCATCTGTCTGTCTGTGTACATGGAAGCAGCTTGGCTGAAAATTGGCCCATATAATTGCATATTCAAGTGAGTGTATTGGAAAAATGTTGTACTGGTAAACATCCTTACCTTTTCATAAAGGGATTTCTCCACAAGGATATCATTTCCACAAAGCACTGGTATATAATATCATCCCACCAGATTGTCACCAGACAGCACAGTCGAGAAAATTCAACCAGACCATGGGATGAGGACCATAGTAAGTAAAGCAGCTACAACCAGGCCAACATTCTGCCTTCTCGGTAGATGAGCTGCAGGCAGAGCATCTATGGCTCTCATGATCAGATTCAGAAGTATACATACTTGTATATATCTGAAAGGGAAAAAGGAACATGGTGCTCTTCAGATCAGAATCAGCATGAGAATGGGTTGGTAAGAAAGTAAAACAAGGACTCCAAGCTAACTAGACAGTCAAGGACCTGAAACACTGAATATGAATGTTCATGGAAGATCCTGAATACGTACTATAATTTTATTAGGACATACTCTCAATCATTGGACAATTGTTTCCGATAAGAAGACATTAGGACATACATGTACAATTGTTTCCAATAAGATAGGTCTTATATGTAAAGTTTTAAAATCTGTTAGTAATTGTACTACTAATATTACCTAGAAGTGCCTGAAAGTAGCCCAGTCTATATGTTCATGGTACAGCTGCTCCCCCTATCTGGTAAATTTTGTACTACAGTGCTCATCATCCAATAGTTTTTCCTGTCAATGTCAATTATGAGACTTACTTGCCTCATTCTAAGACCTTTTTATTAATAGAACAAGATAGAAAATTCTCTAATATTTCATGCCGATAGCAGTGAAAAATTGGGTGTTAGAACTTTATTGTATTAACAGAAGAAACAGGTGCTACATATTCTCTAGTACTAGTAAACCAATTGACAAGGTAGGATTTTAAATGTCATTCATAAGTCTTACATTGTGTATCACCAGGCAGTTTTACTCCTATAGAAGCCTCCCTCTAGAACAGCTCTTAATTCAAATACGATACACACTCGCTTTTTTATGTTCCACTTTCTAAGGGCTAGGTGAGCTGCAGGTCCCACCTGAGGTTGCAAATTCTCATTATGATTTTTGAAAAGTAGGGTGTCTGTGGAGTATATCTTTATATACCTTGCTATATTTATCAAACACCCTTTTTTTCAAAAATATTAAATGAGAATTGCCACCTTAGGTGGTACCAATATGTGAAATTTGGGGTTCTGGCCCATGGACTAGGAAGAGTAGAAACTACCCATAGCTCCCAACAGTTGAATGCAACCAGTGTCATAGAATTCAAAGTAAGCACCACTGGTGTAAACACTGGTTTTGATTTGAACATGCATGAACAGGTACAAAATTTGACATCAAACTTGTCTACATCTTAAGCAAGCAAAACAGTGTCAGGTATTTTGGTTATGATTCATACAAGGCTTTGACTAGTGTCCGATATGTCGACAGAATGAACCTTTAGCAGCCACATTAATGTATTGAACTTTTGACATATAATAAAGTGGGTTATTTTGAGACCCAAGATTGAATAATACTGGCAAAGGCATCCTCCATTGGTCTCCTGATTCATCATGAAACAAAAGTGCACCTGACATACAAATCCGCATCAATATATGAGCATATGAGAGAAAATCTAGAGAAGGCAGTTTACAAATAGAGAAAGAATGCAGAGACTGCAAACATCAACTCCTTACCCATATTTTTTCATCATTTCCAGTCAACAAAAATTTGGATGTATAGCATTGCTGCATAGTATATTTTAGGAATCACAGATACACAAACAGACATGCACTCAAGCATATGCAAACACAGACCAACTTCACCAAGCCAAATATCTCACTTCCTTTGAAGAAGAAACAATGTTTAATAACTACATGTATTTGCAAACTTGCAATGAACTTCAAAACTTTTCCACAATAATGCATACCTTGCATGCTTTCAAGACTTTACCTATTTCAGCATTTGGGAAATGCAACTCATTGTGCACATATAATACCAAATAGTAGAGAGATAAAAAAACTCAACCAATCAGACACACAAAACAAAAACAGGATTACAAACATAACACCATGGAGGTGCTTAGTAACAGTATATTAATGATACATTAGCAAGCAATGTGTATACCACTTAAGGCAGTGTTCTGTAGTACTGCCATAGTTCCCACAAACAGTTTAACTGGAGTCTAAAGCACATTGAAAGACAAAACATAAAGTAAGGTACCCAGACAATCAGGTTTCCATTGACTCACAAAATAGACCCTTAAGGCTGACTGATAAAGTAAAAATCAATTCTAGCCAGCCTTCTTAAAAGTCTTTTAAAAAAAAACAGCCACCTGATTGACAAATTGTACAACTGCCCAGACGCTTCTGTCTTGCCTAACAACAAAATCCCAAGTTGTTAAACAGATAAAATTTATTGGCAAGGTCTGTCAAAGCCTTGTTAAGTTTTCTTTTCCAGTGTAAGCAATTCAATGTCAGTGCCTCAAGGGCGTTTTAACAGCATTTTAACAGGTTGAAAATAGCGATTGTTACACTTACCTTGGACGGTATGTAGTTGTGGTTACTGTGGTTTGGGGACAGAATTAAAATGTCTAAGTGTTCAGTCAGGCGTTGTTGTTGGGCTGAGCTATGTTTGGTAGCTGAGGTAATGCCCGGTCCGAGCCAGACAAGGGCCAGACAGTCGAACGTGACGAGGCAACACTCAGCCCAGCCCACAGTCCAACCCACCCGTGCAAAACTAGCTCGTAAACCCACCGTCTGTCTTAAAATTCGTCCGTTTCACTCAACGTAAACTGAACAACAAATTCTGACAGACACCCTCCAACGGCTGACGCTATTTTCTGTGAGAAAGAGAAAGGGTGGGGGAGGGTTCACTCACTTACTCAAATAACGTTACTTGTTTCCGACGGTCAGGAACATTTTGACAGACGAACACTAAAACACCAACACTCCTTTTCATGTTTGTGAACTGAAGCGAGTTTAAAAAGTCAGTCAGGGAAAGTCGATCTCTCAGTCAGGAAAAATTCGAGGCGACAGTCTACAATGGCAGGACAAATTGTCGTCTGAAACAGACGTCACTCATATACGAACCCTTGGCCCGCCAGACATACAGCAATTATGGCTGTGTGATTGTTCGACTAATTACACAAGGTGTTGAATACACAGGTTCTATTCAGACTAGTTCGTCCGTGGCAAAATAGGAACAACGTTGAACAGAATCAGTCTTTTCACAGCCGCTAAATACCTACCCGGGTTTTAAGTTTGGCCGGTCAGGAAGGACAGGAACATTTCAGAAGACCTTGGAAACAAAAGTCAGTCCACTGACGGCAAAATACCTCAATGCAACAGGCCTGCTGGGTGACAGAAAAACGTCACAAAACGTTAGGAATTTCCTCAGAAAATGCGCAGAAATACCTTCACAGTTAGGCGAGGGTAGGCTTACCAAGGACCGTTCTTCCTGTGAGAAGACAAAAGTTGTACGATTTTGACCAAATCTGAGCCCGCTTCTCCCTCTGAAAATGTTTCGGTCGTCTGTAAAGGGATATACCATTCAAACGTCCTTATGGGGGATGCTTGGATATCTATTATCATAAATATTACGCTAGAATAAAACTGTAAGTCCGTAAGACTTTTGATAAATATACGATCACATTGCCAGACAAAATACAGTATGAATACGTCGTATTTAAATCTCTTATTGCCTTCCTGTTTTTACGTTTTCAATACATGTTTCCTTCCACTTGGTATGGTCTCACCCCAATCGTGGATAGGGCTCGGCTGCGGTTTGCCAGACCGCAAGTGCATTTTGAGTCGACCGCAGAAGGTGATCTTTATCAAACGGTTCACTTGTAATGGCGGGAATGACAATCCTTGTCAGAAAGTGGTATGTCGTCCAAATTCACAAAATTTCCGTTCTCTTAGTACACAGGTGGCATAGAATCTGAGAGGGAGGTGGGGAACATGTTAACCTTATTGGGGTCAACATAGGTGGTTGCTGACGTCATAGATTGTCATAATTTCTCAAAGGTCAAGTTCCTAAAGGTAGTGGAGGTCGGTTAAATAAAAAAAACATAAACAACTATACTTTTCCAGACATACCTAATATTTTTCACATCTTTTAGCGATATATTTTTTTACGGTTTTCAAGCGAGAATGTGAAGTTATTGTTTTACTACATTGTGGACTTCTGATCTGACTTACAAGTTGCAGCATTACTTTTCCGAGGACCGAGTTCTACGTGGAAAAATTAAAGAAGAAATTGAAAAAAAGACCAGCTCAAGGTGTGAACAGTATTGTCGAAGATTTTAAAGGAAGATAGCAAGGGGACCATTCAAACCAATGATTTCAAAGAAGAAACGTTGCCTTTTGGGCAATTATATCATACGCTACAGGCTATATTAGCCATTATTGTCTGTTGCTAAAATCTCTTCCATTCATGTCCAAGGTGACACTGATTCGTTGTTGGCTAAGTACTTAAAGTCACAAATAGCTGATTGGCGGCTAAATGACACGCATGGTTTATGCACTTAAGTATGTATATACTTGAGTATTGTCAACGGTCCGGACGTTCTGAGTGTTTGAAGCCGGTTACGTTGTGTGACCGACACATACAAAATTTTGTGTCCGTATTCATGGTTTTGGCAAATATTAATTCGCGCCATTTTTGTCGGAGGATTTTCACTGAGGCCTTGTTAGGCTCGACCAAGGTTGTATACAGCAAAGTTTTCTGTTACAAGACAGCCGAAGTTCGTATATACATACGTATATGCACACGACACATCCACCACCTTTAATTTCCAAGAATACTCTCAATGTGGATTTACTATCGTGCGACGAACGTGACAGGGCACTAACATTTTAGAAAGGCCACAACCACTGATGAATATTCCGCCTACGTTGTTAGCTATATCCTAGCCTGGATTCCAGCCATTAAACTTAATACTGCAAGTCCTTTCCAATTGGCCGTTACTCCTGTCGACGTCCTGCAAGCAAGGCTGGACTCCAGGCTACCCATGTCTTGGGTGAGGTTCTGTGCATGTTTCGTCTGGGTGCTGTCTACCAGCTGCGGCCGAGACTCAAGACAAAGCCATGTGGCGGTCACGTACAGACGACTTGTATACACGACCTTTAGCCGATATAACAACAGCTCATGATTCAACAGAACCAACTTGTTGGCTGAAATATTTCAACGTCTTTCTTCACGGTGAAGGGAATGAAGTGTGTGTTTAATACTCCTATTATAATACTAAATATAAAGGAGTTGGCGTGTCCACGATTAAAAATTTGTATGCAGCCTAACCCCCTGTATGGAAATATCGTTAAGAAATAGCTATAACTACCCCTCGTACGTTTTATAGACAGACAGTGGCACTGAGAGTACTACCACCTACGTTCTGGCAACGTGAAACAGCGTCAACACCAGTATACGACCATGTCTTTGGCATAGACTTCCGGCCAGAACGTTTGAATCCTAACTTTAAGGAAAAAGATATATAACTCTTACCTTGACTGCCGTCATTACCTGGCGTAAACGTTTGCAGGGATGAGTGTGGCATCCTCTTATGAGGATATGCCCACTTAAGTCTGTTTACATGGCGTGCTAACGTTAGTCGTTACCCATAATATTGTACGTCGAGCATAGATTCAACAAGAAACCCCACCAGACGAATCGAAATCACAAGGACCGTAACTCAAAAGTTCTCGTGGGTGCCGATGGCGAGGACTTCTTGGGACTTTGCCAATGTGTCTAGCGGGGATGAAGACTTAACATGCCACTGGAACAAAGGACAATATCACGTAACGTCTGGGGTTTTGTCTCCAGGTGAACCATTGTATTGACAAAAAAGGCACTTCGTTCGGTGTCAGAAATAGCCTCAAGAAAGAGTGCTAGGATTTGATGCCACTGCGTTTGCAATAAACTTTCTATTAAATGATCAGCAGATGTCACAAGCGGATTTTGGTGATTTATTGCTTATTAAATGAAGATTTTGATTTTAACTCTGTAATGTCCATCTCACCTCAAAATTACGTCCCCATACACAGAAATAAATGAATTTAGGTACTGTAACACTGCATCAAGTGCAACTCTCACATCTCATAAAGCACACAAAACACAGTCATTACAAAGACTTGATATTTTATTGCTTGCACTGCTGTTACAGGGACTACAGGAAATGGAGGTCTATACAGTACAAGAGGACATCATCATGGCACTTCTTTTCACATTTTCCTTGCAGCTCCTCTTCATACAACCAATATGGAATGTTCCTCTAGAGTAAGGTATAGTTTATATATCCTATAATAATAAAGAAGTCTAACTGTAAGGTCAACCATTTTGCTGCAACGCAGGCCAAGTCCAATGGTCTACAGTGATAGAAATGTTTAGAAAATTCTGCTAAAAACCCATCAAGTTTTCTTCATTTTTCCTAAAGCCAAATGTATGCTTTACACGATGGTGGATCATAATGGGGGATTGTAAAACACCACAAATACCATACATAACAGGACCGTTATGGGGTTTTCAAATACATCATTTTACTTGTTCTTCTTGAAATGTCCCACTAATTCAAGGTGTTGCTTGTCCAATATCTATATATACACACTAACATGTAACTGTGGCATTGACAAACCTGTCCAAATACTCCATATCATTATTGTAGTGCCAGAAATGAGAAAGATGTTGAATACTTCAAGCTAAGATTGGTTTCTGAGTAAAATTTAGTACATATTTTGTCACAATATTATAATGTTGGTTAAAGCAGTGAAGAAATTTGTATGTTCTTGTCAATTCAGCTACAGACTTACTCTTGAAGAAGAGGGGTTTAAAATGAAGTAATACAAAATCTGTGTGCCTGTACCAGGAGTATTACATGTTACAGAGAGATCTACGCTGTCAAGTTACTGCGCTGCCTGTGCCGTAGCCTCCAGTTCTGTCGCTGGGGTGTCCGGGTCTTCATCGTTGTAGATGTTTTCTGCCTGTAGAGGAAAACAAACAAATTGACAGACAAATTTACAATAATGAATAGAACAAGAGACTCACAACAACTTTACGTATGAAATCTCTGATTTATTGTTGACTTTGTCATAGGTACTTTAATGGTAACAATTAAGAGACTGACCATCTGCCAGACTTGCATGATGTTGTCCTCGGAGACAGAGCAGATGACCCAGGGTTCGTTGGGGTTCCAGGAGAAGTCCGAAATCTTCGCTGTGTGGCCGCCATGGATGAACTGTGAGCGGAATAATGCAAAAAAAAGTTAGCTTAACCATGACCGAAAACTGGGCACTACTACAAACTACTGTAAACCTTGAAACCTTTATTATCATGGTGACTTCATGACACAGCAAATATGCATTTCCAGTGCATTTTACTGAACTACTGAATTGGTTCAACTGTAAATTTAACACAGAGTATGGTATCCAATGTTCAGTTACTGACCAGAAGCTCTGGTGGGCCATCCTCAGCATCCTCGGCTGACTGCTCCTCACCAATTTTGCTGCAGAGAAAAAAAAATTACAGTTCTTGTTAGATTTTAAACAGTGTATCAACTTCATGTACCTCTAAGTATTAACATTATTCTGGTGTTATGTCATTGCAACAGAGTACTTGCATGTGACGTCACAGCCCTGGTTTAACTATCAACCAACAGCTTACTAAAGAACAAGACATCAACACACATCCATTCTCCCTACCTCAGGTCCCACACGTTGAGTCGTCTGTCTGTCCCACTGGATGCCAGGATGGTCTCATTATGAGGGGACCATTGCACCTGGAATTGATAAAAATCACAAACACATGATGGTTTCATTGTTCACACACTGAAACAGTACAGCATTTGTTCATTAAAGAAATCCAGACTTAGAACCGAAGAAGTATTTTCAGCATTCTGTTGTTTCTTTATTGCAATGATGTTCACACTAGCTAAAACAGAAATTGTGCTACTCTGTTGTTGATCCATGAAAATTTTACCATCTGACAAGATGTGATTGGTAATAAAAGATAAAAATAAATATTGATATGATGCACACTTTTACAGAACACTTATTGTACAAGAGAGACTATTTTATACCTGGAAGATTTCATCCTTGTGTGACTCAAAGGAGTGTAGCTTGAGCTTCAGGTTTCTCAGGTCCCACAGGGCAACAGTCTGGAAGAACAAACAATTTTCACTCAAAACAAAGGATGAATCTCTTTGTCATGAAAACAAGACTCCAAAAATCATCACTGACATCAGCTTCTGAACTGACCAGAGGCAGACTTAAAGGTGCAAACAAGAAGGACATATTTTTGGGATATATTCAGTGGTATGTCCTTAATGAATAATAATAATTCATGTATTTCTGTCCATGCTGGTAAGCAGGTAAGTTGGCATCTGACAACAATGTATCTCTTTATCTCGCACTCTGAGTTCATGACTGATTCATACAAACCTTGTCTGCAGACCCCGTGGCCAGGATAAACTCACTGTAAGGGTTGAAGGACAGGCAGTTCACCTGGAGATGTACAGAAGTGTGGAAGGTTAAACAAGGCTGTAAAATACACTGTGTAAAACAAGACAACTAGCATTTGGAACTGAATACAAAACACAGGCAAACATACACAAACCAAAAACAAAACCTCCGTATACAGAGCTAATGAGATGTAGCCTTACCTCAGCGGTGTGTGCATCCACAGTGTGGCTGGGCTTACTGGTGTTGTTAGATCGGGTGTCCCAGCTGCAAATAAAATACAGTACAAAAAATCAACATTGGGCATTTTTTCTTCAGCCTTTTCTGCAGCACAGATTCAAAGAATTCCATGTAGCCAACCTGTAGAGACAAAGCTACTCCAACGTTCTAATTCAAAATCTAGAGGCAGTGTCTTCTTGTTTTGTTAACTGAATCAAAAAGGTAGCAATTATAACTGCTGTTCAGCATGAGATCAGTACTCACATCATCAGCTTTTGGTCATCGGCTACGGAGCCAAACAGACTCTCATGCAGTAAGTGCCAGGACACATCCTGAGGAAGAAACAGCGTTACAATAAAGATCAAGACATTCTTGTCAAAACAATGGTGCTGTATGAAACACATGACACCAATGATGAGAAAGTTCTACTACAAATTAAAGTGTGGCTATGATAGTACTGGTCACTGACAATGTGGATGTTCGCACCACCTAGTGATTCACAGCAATACTGCACCAGGTATTTTTCCAAACAACTCAGAACCAATAGGGAATGATGTCTCAGTTGACAAGCGTACCTCTACCACAGCAGTGTGGCCAGTGAAGATGGTTTTGGCATCCAGTGACCGGTTCTCCTTGGGCGACTGGTTGATGTCCCACATGCAGATGGTCTGGAACACACGGTGAAACAACCATGTCATAAAATAATCCGAGAACAATGAGACAAGACACTGCTAGATCCGGGACACAGTAGTAAAATAGCTTGGCCAACAAGTCTGTAACTGTGAGTTCTAAAAAGACATTTTGGTAGTGAGTTTCAGGGTGCCTTAAGTCACTGAACCCTGTCCAATGTAACATTAGATTTTCTAGTGAAAAATATACTCCACTTTCTGTCAAATTGAAATTTTGTGACCTTCTGGCAATCAACAAAGAAGACAAAGTTCAATTTGTCTTTCCACGATCATTAACAGAACATGTCCAGTAATGCTAAATATCAACATTTTAGTAACTACAACACTAAAACTTACCCGCCTATCGAAAGTGCTGTTGGCATCCAAACAGCACGGCTAGTGGGAAAAGAGCAATCAAGAATGGACCAAAAGGATTACAGGGGTGGGTAGGATGGGGTTGCCACATTACGACCACAAAATATCACATTTTTGTACAGTTTTGAACTCATTTTTCATTATCTGTCCCTATATTTGTAATATGTCTCTACACTCAAAGCAAATTTTATATTTTTTTTTCTCTTTTGTAGATATACAAAGGGTGTGCTACAATGTGACACCCCTGTTTCGATCCTTTCTAGTCCATTCCAAAGACGAGTAAAGCAGAGAGGTAAGGATGTGAGACTTACATGGTCGTCTGAAGCGCTGAGGAGGTGACCAGTCAGGTTGGGGTTCCATGACAGCCCGTACCTACAAATAACACCAAACATGTGATAGGGGTGATATAATACAAACAGGGATACTGAGGCAAGGTTCATTTCTTCACCCAAAGGGAGTAAAGTGTGGCTTGCTCAAAAGAGTTATTGGGTATCTAAAAGTGAAACAAAAAAGGCAGTTTCCAAAAATCACAATGTTTGGGATTCTGTAAAATTGAAAAGAAATTTAGAAACTGGTACTGAATTCTTTTTCAGGATATTGTTAACTCTTACCCTTCTTTCTGGTGTCCCTTCAGCCTGAGGTCTGGGCAGCATTCTCCACTGGGGTCTGAGGGCAAAACAAAACAACTTCTGTGTTTACTGGTAAACATAACAGTCATTAATGTAGCTAAGACACTAATACTAGGCACTTGCCCTTGTGAACAGATCAAATTATCATGTGAAGAATGTGTTTTCCAGTCAATAGATATGTTGTTGATGTGTTGTGCGAAGTCAGAATTTTAAATCAAAAAATATGTCAGAGATACAAAGAAAGAGATTCATGCAGGAAAGCTGTCTTCTTAGTTCTGGACAAATGTTGAAATTAAGTCTTGATTCACAAACCTTTGTGACAATTTGTCTGGACATGTTTAAATAGCTTACCAGGTCTGGAGGGGTGCTTGGTGTAGTCGAACACCAGCACATCACTGGAGGGAGTTTTGGTGGCGATGACACATGGGTTCTGGGGCATGTAGCGCGCCCGGTTCACCTCACCCTCATGGTTGATCTTGATCTCGATTTCAATCTTCCCGCTGACCGACCCAAACCCACCAAATTCTGAAACAGATCAAGGGTAACAAGAAATGAAACATATATCAAGACTTAGAATCTATGGCCACACCAATTTGATTTGTTGGTTCTCAGATTTCTTCAGAAACAATATGAAGGGACGGGGCAACAGAGCTAGGCATTCTATGATAGGAGCCTTGAAGTCTACATATCAGGCTGGTTTGTAATTCAAACAATGAATTTCAAACTTTTAATCAAACCACAATTCAGAGCCTGAAATGTTTTTTTTTTGTGCAAATCGGAAAAAAATGAAGCGGGCGGATCTGAGAACCAATTAAATTGATGTGGCTTAGTGAAAATATCATTTTGTACGACACAAGACTGTCTAAAGAATGCTCTATACGTGATCATAACAAAAAAGCTTAGCACACTGAAATAGCCATTCTGCTCTTTTAATTGCAGGATAATGCAGCAGAGAGAAAATTTTCAGGTGCAAACTTTCCAAAAATATCATACTACAGTATTTATTGCCCTAACTGGTTATACGTCCATATGGGATTTATTCCTCGCATTGTCAAAGTAATAAATGTTATACACAGACTTAATGTAATTATCCTGCAGACATCCCACAGTTTTAGGACTCGTAATAATCATATTGTCCTCTCTAGGCGACAAATGTCTGCTGTATAATCTCTTTACATGCACACTTCTGGGTTGTCCTAATCCCAATGGGAGTTACATATATAGGACAGGGATGATATGTTGACTATGTCATGGATTTATGAATTAACAAATGAGAAATGTTGTCCTGGCCTATTGCTGAACCAGTTATTAAATGTAACAACTTTGCAAAGAGTAGTTAGAAAAAAAGTAGTTTATAAGCTCAAAAGCTCTTTACAAAGAATGATTACTTGTATGTCTATAAAAAGAATGATTACTTCAATGTCTATGATGTGCATTTAAAAAAGCTTTTTTTGTAATGCCAACTCTCCTAATTCTGCAGTTACCCCAAGACTGTCACAACCAAACAAAGGTGTTTTTAAAGGTTTTCTAAAGAATGTCTTGAACTTGGGATTACTGATGCTGTATTTGGATATCTCTGTAAATTCCTTTTCTTGTCTTTGGGTTCGTGGCAGAATTAAGAGAGCTCCTTAGGTGCATGGTTGTGCCAATGATACATGACACCTACCACCTTTCTCGCTATCGTACTGCGTGGCGTCAAACTGGGCGTCCTCGTTCGGCAGCTGTACGCTGGCGATCACCAGGTGGTTCTGCTCGTCAGAGCTGCGGAGGTAAACAAACATGATCGTAAACAAACAATTGTTAACAAACAAGGTTGTAAACAAAAAGAGTAATGTGCTCAATGAAACAGCAGAACAATCTCTCTTTACGTGAACAGAATTGTAATATAATGTACTGTATTAAGATAACAATCTTGTGGTAGCTTGTAGACTGCAGTTTGAAAGGAGCCTGCTAGGAGGAATGACTGTTTTAAAAGAGAGGGAAAACACTTCAGTTAAAAGACCTGGATACGAATCTGACTTAGAATTTCTTTTCAGCCAACCTAACCTACAACATGGGCATGAAACATACAAGAAAACACAACAACTTTTAGAATTAACTTTTAAAAGAAATTGCCAATGACAGTATAAAACAGAAAGATATCTCTAGAATGTCAGTTCTAACATGTTGTTATCTGACTTACGTGTGGGTCCCCAGGATCAGACGATGGATGGAGTAGTCCTTCCCCTCTGGTCTGTGATAAACAACAAAAATATCAGACGTCAGAAATCCACAATGTCAAGTTCACACTGCTCAACAAAAATCAACTGCTCAAAAATGTTACTAATCGGAATCAACATGTACACAACATCAGCCTGGCTGGCATACCCCTACTGTAGCACCAGTAAATTACTCTAATAGGCTGTCTAAAATATAAGTAAGAATTCTGATTGACTAGAAGCCACACAGTCCTCATAGTGACATGGTAACAGGGTTAGAACAGTCATTTCGAAGTTCGGTCCCACTACACTCACTGCTTGTGAGAAGTATTTGATTTTAGAAATATTGGGAGGCCAAAACTATTCTGTGGAAAAGAAACCCTAAGCTGGAAAATGATTTTTACCAGGCTAATGTTAATTTTGCTGCACTAGCATATATGACAGTACCTGGTGACATCAGGTAGCCACTGGGCGGTGAGACTGGGCCACTCCAGCGCGTGGGTCATGACCAGGTCGTACAGGAACGGGGTGTTCTTCTTCCAGATCTTGTACTCCTCGTTGATTATCCTTTCCTCAACTGCATCATCGAAAGCTTGTGAGGTCGGGGGTCAAACATATCGAGTCTTAGCATGCTCGGCTCCCAACACCGCACAGTTGAGGTTAGTGAGCAAAGCTTCTCGTGCAGAAAACCAAAAGGGTAGGGGGCCAAATAAGGATTTCTGGGGAACCCCACGCTGGCTAAAATATACTAAACCATGCAAAGCAATAAGATTGAACACAAAAAAAACAAAAACAAAAGCAATGCAGTCTAATCATTAGTAACCATGCAACGGCCCCAAAGATATTATCAAAAGTCATATCAGGGAGAAAAAACAGCAAACAAATAGCAAAAACAATAAAACTACAAACAAACAAATGCAAATTCTATGCAACAAAAGAAATACATCATAATAACTAATGGTCATTATATAAAGAGCCATTAAATAAAGATGTAATAATAAAAGAAATCAATAATTTTGCAACAAAAACAAATGGATGAATCCAGAAGTTTGCTCATTTGCTACACTAGAATGTGGGTTTAGTTACATGTATGACTGTAGTGTAATGTATGTACAAGAAAACACACTCAAACACAACACTGCAAAAGGACAAAAGAGCAAAGAGGCAAGTAGTGTTCAAGCAGGTAAGCATTGAGTCAGCATGTTGGAAATCTAACATTAATCCTATATCATACTTGTATGACGTAAAAAGAAAGTAGGACGTAACAAGAAACTAGGATATAATATTAAATAGAGGAAGAAAGAAGCATGCAGCGTTTTGTTATTTTTCTCAATAAAATCTGTTATTTGTTTAAAATAGTGTCATCAAGAGTCATGACTTGGATGGAGTAGTACATGAACACATCAATAAATGAACAATATCAATATGATATGAAAACTTCAAACCTTGCTCAGACGATTGAGCAGCCATGGGTCGGCAATACGCCCGTCTGCTCGCTGTAAGTGAAGGATTGCAAGGTTTAGGGGTCAAAGGGCACAAGAAGACTTCTTCATCATCAAGCATCTTTAAGAACGCAATACTGATGGTGTAAGACTGATGGAGTGAGGGGGGGGGGTAGAGAAGGGGGTTGGGGTGCTGTAAGGCATAGGTAGATCCACACCAAACTTAATTTGACATGGTGTTGGATTGACTGTGTATGCCTTTGGATGAAGATTGTGGCCTTTCTGGGAAAATGGTTGCTTCAACTTCCGATGTTAGAAAGAAAAACTTGGCATCAAGGTGCAGCAGCATCTGCTTTGAACAATACACAATTACTACAGTAATGTGTATGGTGCACATATCACTGCTATTGTAACATGTATAGATTCTTTAATAGAATGCAGTAAAACAGATATTCCCAAACATTTTAATTTTTCTTAAGACGACCTTAGGGGCAGTTGAAAATGGGAGCTAAAATAGAGACCTGGAGGCAGTTTTCTTCGACCAGAATCAGACATATATTTGGCCAAATGATAAACAAGGGTCTGTATGGGGGTCCTGATTCTTCACGCTAAATTCACTATTATTATTAACAAGGTTATTACTTTATTAGAAAAATTATATATGGACTCCCTATTGACGCAAAATGTGACCATCTCGCTATGATAAACGGGGATAAAAGAGCTTTACAGTGAGTTAAAGTAGCTTGCCTATGCCCTTATTAAAAAGTGGCATGCTGGCCTCCTTCAAGCCTTAAGCCTTCTGGCAAAGGTAATTTGCGTATTTGGTGTTGGGAGAAGGGAGTAAATTAATTTGACATAGGCAAAAGCACCACGACTCCACGAGACTTGAAATAGGTTCCACACAACACATGTCTACATGTCTACCCATCAGTAAGGAAAGTAAGTAGCTTCCACATTGGATTTCTGTAAACACTATTAGGTCGCACAACGGGTAAATCATGCAAAAACATAACACGTGCCCCCCTCCCCCTTAGAGCAAGTACACGATTTTTTATGAGTTTTGGACACTATTCACTAAGATGCGTGATTGTGAGCGCGGTGGGAAATGCTGACAGTATTCCAGGCGACAGAAATCGGCAGCTTTGGTCAGAAGTAGCGGCGATAAAGGTTTAGGGACAACAAAAGTCGGATGAAGTGTTTTGGGGTAAGAAAATGCAAATAGGGCCAAGTGCATGCAAAAACTGGCGCCTAGTGCATGCGTGCAGTTTCGGAAATTTTGACAGCGAAAATTCTCACCCACGACAACAAACAGATCACAAACACTTCTTCCACAACGTTCCTCTTACAACTAAGTTTACACAAGTGTACTTACAGTCCCTCCTTGTCAGCCATTTTTCGCGAAAATCTGAGATTTTCTGAGGGGAGAAAGACAAAAGCACACCGGCGGCGGCTCTAACAAAATGGCGCGGGAAATCTGAAAATGAGAGCATGATGGGATAGATAGCGTGGGTTGACGTGCAGTACAGTAGCGACATCTTGCGACAAAAGTTATAAGTTCAGAATTACCACTTGTACACTCGTGTACACAATATTTAATCTTCAAGCAGATCCTTGGGTGGCAAAAAGACCGTATCAAATTGGCCAGGCAGTATCCATTGGTCAGAGAGGGTCCAATACGCCACCCTTGGGTACTAGTATTGGACCCCTCTGGCGAATGGATACCGCCTGGCCAATTTGATACTGTCTTTTTGCCACCCTAGGATCTGCTTGTAAACTCGCGTACACAATATCACAGCAATCACATTTGATCCGGCTTTGAATTTCATTGAACGTACTCATAAGGTTTCTGACTTTCTCTATTGTACGTTCTGTTAATATATTTTTTCTCTCACTAAATGCTTTGTTTCTTTTCATTTGGAAATGAATAATGAACAAATAAACACAAGTGTCAACTGTCAAACGGTAAATTTAGCATTTTGATTATTTTCGAAGTAATATAGTCTTTATCGATTTCAACAAAACCGCCTATATCATCCACCACACGCGATTCTGTCATAAATATCCATTTGTAATCATTACTTATCAATAAAAATGTTTATCAATGAAGTTATTGTTGAACCCCCACCATGGTTGCAATACCTGATGTGCAGATAGATGTCACCACAGGTAATTGAGTGATCGATATATACGTTTTGACTTCCTGCCACGCCCTAGACATAATTTCCGACGTTAAGAGCCAAGTTAACGATAGTTAATTAACTATTCAAAAAGTTTACCCGCGGCCATTTCTCATCCGGGAAATTTTCCTTCCCACATGACGTCATTCACTCGCCCAATATGGCGGCCAACGTGAGCTGGGAATTTTGTTTTTGACTCATTTTCCGCGAATTATCCTCATTTTCTCGGCCGCTGGGGACATTTGAGATGTGTCAACGATTCAGACGAGGGATTGTAACGTCTTCTAGCTGTGGGTTGTAGCGTGGAGGGAAGGAATCGTCCGGAGGAGAGACATGGAGGGGCTAACGTTGACGGACGCGGAGCAGAAGTTGTATTCCGAGCTGTTCGGGACTTGTGATGTCGAGCACACAGGCAGAGTCTCGGGCACTAAAGCCTCAGAACTGTTCCTAGCCTCGCAGCTGCCACACGACACGCTACAGCAGGTAGGAACCGCCTCCCAGACCAGTTTACATAGCCTAGCAGCAGCCACAGACGGGGCGGGGCTGTCAAATACAGCGTGTTGACTTTGAGCTTGGCGATATATTGACTTGATCTTTAAGCGCTTGTCTTAAACTGTTTGACTCAACAAACATATCAGTATCGGCCCTAGTTCTATCAAATACAATTCTCTTATCTATACAGCTTGCTGTTTTAGAGGGAAAATCTATATTTGCAGCTTCTTTGTACTGTAAAATGGCCTTATCTTGAAAAGGCAGGGCTGGGACCGAGGACATAAATTTTCCGGGCTGCCAAAACACTTCCACGCCCCCTAGGCGACCTCTACACAACTTTGACAGGACGAAATTTATTTTTCATGTAGGGACCACTTGTTTTTTCTTGACCTCCAAGGTATAGTGTGCTGGGGTGCTTGTTTTATGTCACAACATGTAATTGTTTGTCAAACCTACTTCAATCCTGTTTGAAAAACAAGACAATTAGATTTAAACATTGATATATTCTTTGGGGGTGGGGGTGGACAACCTTCTCCTTCTATATGATTATGTTTATCTTTTGTGAAATATTGTCTTCGTGTCCATTGTTTCATTCTTCGTAGATTTTAAAACTTCTGTCACAATAATTTTCTAGACACAAGAGGATAAACTTTAAGCCTCTTAATGCCACATGGTGATTATGTTTTTGTTCATGTAAGTTTGTAAAATTCTATATATTGCATAGTCCACATTTCAACATGCTCAAGGTGTGGCTCCTTTAAAATGAGACTTTATACTATATAAAAGACATTACCAGTAACATTGGGTTTTACTGACCTTGTGATTCAAAAGCAGTATTGCTAACCAGTAGGTCACAGCTCAATCCTCATGTACATGTACATGTAACGTTATAATAACAATGTATATAACCAATATATACATGTATTTCACAGTAGTTCAATACTGTAGATTCGTTTATTTTCACAGAGACTGAATTTCATGATTAGGAGGCCCAGAGAGGGTGAATAGGTTTTCTCAGTGTTTTGTGTTCATGGTTGATCCAAAAATGCAATCTTCCTAACTTACAAACTGAGAAATATACTAACAATTAATTAGTGATAGTTACTAACATTTGAGATAGGTAGCATATTGCTTACAAGGAACAATAATTAACATATGTATGTACATGCATTATTCAAGCAAATTTATTGCATGATTGTTACATTATCATTAACACACAATCAAAGAAAGAGAAGTTACTATATAAGTTAACACCAAGATCTTGTTTTCCATCAGCTTTTTTATCCATGTTCCAAAGCGGGGATATGTTAGTGTTTCCGGCTGCCTTCTCAGGTGTCAGTTTTTCCATGACCTTTGTTGTCAAATCAGTGGAAAGGTCACAAAGCAGGCCACTGGCCACATGTACATCTGGCTGAAAAAGACAACCTGAGCACAGTAGTTTTTCCTTGTCAGACAAATGTGAATATCCTGCACCTTATTCCAGATTAAGTGCCGTATGTGTGTGTAAGCGGGTTCATTGTTCCAACTGTGCATGTGGGGGGTCAGAGGTGACGGCCCCTAACCTGAAAACAGTTCTTGTTTAGTTCTTACTTGATGCTATGTTTGTTTATGTCTTAGAAGCCTTCAACTTTGACATACATTCTTGAGAATAGAGGCATCTCTGTGGGTACTGAAAGCATGTGTCACTATTTTACTTTGGTTTGACTAACTGGTTTTTAGTCCATAGTCATGATAGTGGTTACATTTGGCCAGTCCTTTGTGCGACTGCTACAGACAGGTTTGACTGTATTGCCTTCAATCCATTCATGTCCAGTTCCAGCTAATTCAGAAGTTAACTGTTTAGTTTTTACCTAAGAGCTGAGAACCATCGAAATGCCTTGCCATGGCCCTATACAAGTGCTCAGTTAGAAGATGTTTGCATAGACAAATGACATATTGCTTATACAAGGTCACATGCCAAAGAGTCATAAGCTTACTTTAGACTGACGACGGTACACGATCGCACGACAATCGTTGTGGGCGACGGCTGACTTTAGACACATGACCAGGAAGTGTGACGGACACCCGCAGCGCAGGAGGGCACGCCGCGCGCCAATTCAAAATGGCGAGAGAACCCCTTTTTTTCGGCATGCTGCAGAAGATTGTTTTTATTCTGCTTTTAACTCGTTGTTCTGTGGATGAGACTCCTAGTTTGTGCCCAGCAAAGAAGGGGTATGAGGCACATGTACCAAGCGGGGCAATATACTCCGGATTTGAACCCGGCGTTCAGTGCTGCCGTCGGCCTGGCCGGGAAATGTGGATCGGCGGGTCGCTTCGTACCGGAGAAGTAGCGATTGGTGGCTGGGGATTGTACTAGACACGTATGACGATATAAAGTCTTTGGTTTGACGACATTTAATGATACTGGCGATGTGCTTGGACATGGAATAACGCTTGCAGGCTTATTTGCATAAGACCAATGACATCCCACTTCCTTCGCCGGCGACGGTTCACTAAGACGGTGGAAAATCCTCCTCGGACCCCCCGCTGAAGGATCGCACGATAGGGTCCGAGGTGGTAGTGACGACGATTCGAGGATTACCGTCGTGCGACTATTTTGATCGTCTTTAGACGGTTGTAAAATACCGTCGCCGGCAACATCTTGACGACAAACATTCGTACGACTATTTAACCGTCGTCAGTCTAAAGTGCCCCATAGACATGGGGAAAGATTCTGTTACAAATCTGTTCTTAATGAATGGATGTAGGCCAACTTTTACTGACACTGGCAGTTTTTGATTTTTCACATGGCTTCAAATACCTACCCACAGAAATTTGGAGATTACAGAAAAATGTATAAACAAATGGTAATTTGGCAAGCAAAAAAAGATTAAATATTATGAATCATGAAACAGGAATGAATTTCAGAATTTTGTCGTATTTCAAATTCCCTCACAGTCACGTAAGTTTGGATCTGCCCCAACTATACACTTTACGCAGTGGTTGAATTGATGGTATGATTTTAAACAAGGGATGATATTGTCTTCCATCTAGGATACTATATCTGGTCAGTAGGCTCATTCAGTGAGTCAGGGATGGACCATTTTTGGTCATGGGGGGTGTTCAACTGTTATGGTAAAATAAAGGATGAATATCCTGAACCAAAGTCTCATATTAGTCATAACCTACTGTTTCATCTTCTGTTTCGTAAGCTATTTTGTACTAGAACCAAGGACTGTATGGTTATCTCAACATTATACATGTAGTTATGAATGTAGAAAGGATTTTTTTCGCATAGTGGGTAAAATAATGAATTCAGCGCCTTGACAGTCTTTTGAATTTTCGACACGGCTTCTCAGTCAAATGAGAAAGCAGATTTCAAACTGCTGTATTCATGTATGCACCAGGTGGAAAGGCAGTCTTGGCAAGGGTGAATCCATTATCTTTGGGAATTGCTAATTTTAGAGAGCAGTTTTAGGTTTAGAACTTACAGCATTCTTGTACATAGCTTTCTGATTTTATTACTGCTATTTCCGCACCATTATCTTATCATTTGAGTAACATATTATGTGTATATGTATTCAATAAATTTTCATCCCTCCCCCTCCATTAGCGTTACTGAACCAGCCCTGTATCAGGGACTTCCAAAAGGGCCCCAAGCGTGCAACTTGTGACCTTGGGGGTTTGTCAAGGTCAGCATTCTGTGCACCTCAGCAGAAACCTTGGCCATATGGAGATGTGAGAAGGAAAGCACAAGAGGAGCCGATCATACAAATGCTGTCCTGTGTTTTTCTGTGTCTAACTAAGGCCACACCAATTCAATTTCTTGGTTATAGAAAATAAACGAGATGCAAAAAATTACACGAACCATTTCGAAAATGAATCCTAAAATTCCTTGATGTTACAGATTTCAACATTCATTAGTTATTCAATGCAATAAACATTGAAAATTCATATTTTGAAATGTTACCAAACCTTGTATATCTTGACTTTGGACAATGATTTACAATTATTCCTCCCCTGATGCATAAATGATTTCTCCCCTGAAGTACAATGATCTCTCCCTGATGTGCTTCCCTGATCATGATATACTGTACTAGTATTAATGCTTCCCCTGATGTATAATGATCCCTCCCCTGATATGTAATGATCCCACCCAGGTGTATAATGACTCTTCCCCGTTAAGACTATGGTCTTGATTATGTTGTTTACCAGTAGAAGTAACATCTGTGACCATTAATTCTGCCCTCTCCATAACAGACAATGACAGACATGTTAGGAGTGCTACAACCTGTTAAGTCCATAGGAGTCAGATACAGGGCAAACTCCTGGTCTCCAGAGATATACAGGAACAGTGCAGGCTTGTTTTTCTCCAAAATGGCTGACCTCCAGGCCTTAGCTACTGCACACATTCTGATGTTGTGCTGGGAAGTACTGTTTTGGGTGGCTGAGCACCTGGGTTTGTCTGTCTGTCTGCCCAGCCTAGGTTGATAGCACTGGGGTGGGTGTCTGGGTGAAAAATAAGAGAAGCTAGGCCAATATGGCCAAGAATTCAGGAAGCCAAGAACTGCATATTTCCCAGAAAACTAAAATCACTGATCCCTTGAAATGGCTGTGACCTTAAATTACACGATAGTTACAAGTGAGGAAACCAAGAAACTGAATTGGTATGGCCGTTACCATGCATTAAGTCAGGTTTCCTGGTAATACATCCTGTATTTCTCAAGTTAGGGCTCAGCTGTAAGACTACTATAAGGTAAGGGATTATGTGCCATCAAAAACAAGCAATAGTTAACAGCTGCGACCAGCTTCCAATAATGTACACACATAGATTTCTTTCGGGGCTTGAATAGTTTTGCATCTGTACCATAATTTTATGTCCTCTTCCTAAAGGTGTTACTGCTAAAAGACAGATGGATATTGAAAAGTAACTAGTTTTGTTTCAAGTCATTTTCATCCTAAATGGCATCATTTCGTCCCTCAGGAAATTGAATTTGTTTGATGGAAGTAATTTGATTTTGAAGCTATCCCCTGAACTTGAATTTTCTGACATTGGCAGTTCAACCTTTCTACAGTGATATCTTTTATTAACATTTCTAATAGATACATAAATAAGTGATGTGAAAAACATTTCAGCGAAAAAGCCATATCCTTTTATTTCGCAGAAGAGCCTATATCTATTCATACTGCTTAACAAAATGGAGTTCTAGGTAATTCTGGTATATAATTTATAAGGAAATTGGCTGTTTTCCAAAGTGTGCAGTACAGTGAGATGTATTTTGTAATGTTAGTGTTAAAAGTGCAACAGAAAGCAAAGTCAGCAACAGAAAGCAAAGTCAGCAACAGAAAATTTATGAGTTGTGAAACATTCAGTTATGGTGTCATAGCACTTAAGCAGAAATAAATTGCAAGTGGAGTAAAATGTATAGCTTTGCTCTGAACCATTTGCAATACAGGCAATCATGATTATGATTCTTGGCAGCACTCCCATCAATTTTATATCAATTTTGCATAACGTTTTATGTATTTGTATATTTGTATACAGCTTAGAGTAAAGGAAGGTTTTGACTTGGTATATGGTGTGTGTGTGTGTGTGTGTGTAGAATTTTGATTCTTTTTATGATTGATTTGTTAGATATATCCTTTTAAAAATATGGCTCAAATTATGATTATCTACCAAAAAATTTGAGAATGAAAAGAAAATTAAAAATGACAGAACTTGAAGTTAAAATGCGCAAGCTAAAAGAAGACATGCTTCATATTACTGTATTATAATAATCATTATTGTAGATGTTTGTATCTATAATTCATACTGCCTTCTGTATATTATGTTAGGAAACCTGAGCTGAATTGCTTATTTTTACTCAGTGTTCGAAATACCTGTCTGCAGTCTGCAATATGCAGATAGATTTTCAAGATTGCAGAAGAAAAATTTATACAATCTGCAATTTTGCAGAAGGAAAAATAGGCTCCAGATTCAATAGTTTTCAATTTAGCAAGCTAGAACTCTCTGGCCCCAAGGACAGACAACACTTAAGCTCCTGTTTTAAAGCCGTTGAACATGAGCTTCTTCACTAATTTGCATCATCCTTGTCTTGACTTGTCTATCTTTTGTTTCCCTTTGGACTTCCAAAAAATTGTCTTCACTAATTTGCATATGAATCAATAGTTCATGCTTATAAACCTGCAATTCTCTTAGTGTCACTGACGAAAGGTAGTAGTCTGACCGTTTCAGGTAGCACCAAAATCATATCGAGTTGCTTAAGAGTTAAGTACTGTTTTCTTGGTGCGTCTTTTATTAGTATGTTGTGTGGAAGGATGATATGTGGGTGTGATTACTAGTACATTAAATTTTTTTTACAGTTAAGGTATGATTTTAGTTGTAGTAGCTTGTAGTGGGAGAGAGCGGTGAAAGACCCGTGAAGATACCAGTAAATGATAAATTTTCTGTGGAGAAGGAACTATAAAGTCTGAAATTAAAAAGAGTGATAGATTAAACTTAAAAGAATTCCAGTAATGCTACAGATTTACAAAGCTATATATGATGTAAAAAAGACATTTAATTTAATGGTTTGAGAATGTTGTAGTATGGAGGCTTAGGTATTTGCAGAAAGTGTTTTCAAATTGCAGAACAAAATTTTGACTCTTCTGCAATATTGCAGAGCACTGAAAAAAAGTATTTCGACCACTGCATTTGTTCATTTTCAATGTTGTCATCATTCAGTTTTGCTACTGTATGTGGCTGTTGATTTTACCGTTTATATGTTACTACTGGCAGGGATTATGTGAAATGCTTGAACTGACTAACGCTTACATAAGAAAAATCTCCAGTATGTGCGGACTATTGAACGTTACCTTTTCCATACATAGCCAGTCGTCTAAGCCATGTACTCAGGAGAATGTACTGGAATTTTCATCTACATGTAGTTGGCAGCTTCAAGGACAGTGCACTGCGTGGGTTGGCCATTTTCCATGGTTCACTTCATAAACAGATGACGCTGCTATCTTTCAGTTTCAGTCGATTGCTCTTTTCCGTACAGTTGCCTGTTTATTTTTAACAGTCTGGAAAAATATCTTTTCAGTTTTTTCCCTGAGATCCTCAAGTAAATCTAATCTATTGCAGTATACATCCTCTAGTGCTCCAATTGCAATTTTTGTGGACTCTAGAAGACACTAATTTTTACTAGTAGTTACTTCCTGGTATTAATTATTGTGGGTGTATTTGTATGTGTGTATATTTGTTTGTGTGTCCAATCTATACAGTTCAATGAATGTACATGGGTGGGGGGAACTACCTACTAGTAACTATATTGTATATATAGTATGAGCCACAAATGGTCAGGAAAACACAAAATACTTGCAAGCCGGAAATGTCTGATTTTTTATTTTTTTTCAGATCACAGAACTGTGTGGTGCGACAAGACTGGGCCATTTCGGTCGTAGCCAGTTCTACATCGCGCTGAAGCTGATAGCCGCCGTGCAGAGTGGTCTACCTGTCCGACTGGAGAGTCTTAACACAGGTGAGGACAGACAGACAGGAGGACGGTACATAGGGGCGGGGTCTCCGGGGGGGGGGGAGGGAGCAGCTCAAAATACTGTGGTATCATGTAAAAGAAAATCATACTGTCAATGAATATCGTAGAGGGGATCGGACACAATCTCAAAGAAAGGTTGTAGAACTAGAACTAGAAGATTGATAAAGGAATTACGGTGACATTCTTTCAAGAGGAAAATGTCAAAATATGATGTGGTATCATGAAAGGAAGAAAATTCAGGTTATTCATTGCGGAAATACGTCATAACATTTATCAAGACGTGAAGATGATTCTCTCTAAATGTCAGTGTACGCAGAGGTGATATTTTAGGGATAGGAGCTGTCTAAAAATGAAGAACATGATATACTGTATGGTATAAGGACAATGTGTTACTAGCAAAAGTGTTTTTTATATGGAACATCTCAAAAATTATACATTTTTGAGATGTTTGAGATTTTAGACACGTCTTATTGGAAAGGAAAATAAAAGGGACCATCTGAAATTGACACTGTCTGTCACCTTGAAATTGCCAAGCGAAAGATGGCGAGAAGTAATTCAGTCTCTATCAGGCGTGAAAACTGTTGAATAGAAATTGATTGAACCCCGGGGGAGGACATAGATTTTTATTTCCTGAGTGTAGGCTGCAGCGCAAGTAAAAGAAAAATGTTGACTTTTAGGGTAATATTTAAGGAAGGATTGCGTTTATTCCCAAATGTCAATATGAAGGAAATTGGACTTGAGGTAGTCCATTTTATTGGGAATAATTATTTTTGTATGCAATTGAACAATGTTGAAATATCGTCTTTGATTCAGAGTTTGAATCTGTACAGTGTACTGTTTTATAAAAAGACCAAATTCCCATGCTTTAGGTCACCTCACTTTCTTTTTGTACATAGTTCTCAATTTTTTGCAGAAAATTTATGGAGTGAGCAGTTAAAATAAAAATTCATGTAATGATAAGACACTACTGTTGAAATGCATGGAACAAAAAATTAAAGATATTTTAATAAGAATTTACACGACTTCTTTTAACTGTCGTCTTCTTATTTTCTTAAGGAGCAGAGATGCCACTGCCAAGATTTGTGCAAGTTAAAGGAACAGAACAAGGTAAGGTTTTTGTAAAATCACAAAATATTTCACCAAAGTCCTAAATCTCTGATATCTTGTTTTGCTGAAAATGCCCTTTGAAAAAAATGCCTTGATCTTTTGACCTTGTTTTTGGACTGGTGGTAACATATGGTAACATTCCCTGTAGCCAACAAAGTGTGAAATACAAAAGCTATAGATTTTGACACAATTCCAAGATGGCCCTTTTTATTTGCAACAGACCATTTCATTTCCAACATCGATTATCCATACTGTTGGAGAACACTTTTTAAATCCCATATGCACACAGTCAGCCATTTTTGTGTGTGAATGTGGATTGACTAACAAATACTACGTTTTGCCTGAAATCCTCATTTTTGGAATAATGTTGCCTCAGTGTCAACCAAAGACCAGTTGTGGCGCCACAAATCTATACCAGTATGATGTGTTGAAACAAAACTTAGTTTGAAGATGACATTAATTGTTTGTTTGTTTGTTTGTTTGTTTTGCAGACAAGAAAAGGATGCAGTTTGCAAATGCGGGGGTGTCCCACCACATGAGTATGGAGGCAGACCACTATACATCTCCTGACAAACCACACCATCCCATCTTAGAGAGGTAGAACATTGCAGTTTTGAAACTGTTCCCAAAACAAATGTTTTAAAAGAAAATGTCTACAACCTTTTCTTGATGGCTTGTCTAAAGGACACAATTTTGTTTCTTATTTTATTTTAAACACCAAAATATGTTATGAATATGAATTACAGGAAGTTACTTTCGTGTTGTTATTTTATAAACCCCAAAATACATTTTTGTACCCATGAATGTTTGTTCTTACTCTAATTTATACAGTGTCAATAATAAGATGATCTTGTCCTTTGATATTACAGACAGACAACACATCCAGGGGTTTTGCCACCACCTCCCAGTCGAGGACATGTGAGAAGTGGGAGCTCCGGAAACCCCCCTCACATCCTCCACTCCAGACAACATGTTGTCACGGAGGCTGGCTCGAACAATCTGCCTTTACAGGTGAGTGTGGCATACTTTCAACTTAGGACAGCAGTTAATAACAACATAACAAATAGCCACAGATCTCAATATTATCTTTTTATTAGGCTATCTGTAGCATTTTGAAATCATTCAGACATATACATGTGTACATATACATCGAAGCACCTCATCGATCATAGTAATAAAGTTGATCTTTTTTGGCAACACCTCAGGAATGGAGCGTCGAAGTACAATACTACGAAGTTACAAATGGCAGAAAATTACAACAATGCATATTTTGTTTTCAGTATTGTCATGTTATTGAAAAATAAGGAAGTACATTTCTCTATGATACAGCATAGGAAAGTTGCGATTTTGGAGAAACTGTGTAGTCAAATTGTGAGTAATGTTTGGGATGTTTTTACTCCAGGCGACTGCAACATCCCCTCAGGATGGTTACAACTCCTCCCCGTACAACACCTCCCCTCCCACGTCCTCCCCGCCCAGCCAGCGCCGCAGCACCGACCGCCACCACAGCGGCCCCGCCGCCACCGCTGCAGCCTCCGCTAAACGCTCGCTGTTCGAGAACAGGATGGACGTACAGTGGACCGGTCCACATGCAGGCGCTGCACAAGGTAGGAGACATATTTTGAATATCACTACAATCCTGTTTGTCGTCTGTTGTTCCCCGTCTTCTGAGGGTTAGACATGCATGCACACTGATGCTGAGGCTTGATGGTAACCCGCCATTTGCCTCTGTCCTGTGGGTTGATGTTATGATGAGGAATATGGTTAAAAATCTGCAATAAAACCCTCCTGTATTTGTAGCCTTTGGTGTTATAGACACATTTTTTGCAAATTTGGACGATTTTTAAATGCCACCCTGTCAACTGTTGGTTTGTAGTTTGATGTTTCGACACCTGTCCCAACTTAGGTATGAAAAATATTTTGACAAATCTATCATTTAATAAGCTGTCATAATTTCATTCATAAGAAGGCCTTGAGAACATGTGGCAAGTCCGCCCAGTGGAATGACAACAGTTGCTGTTTAATATCAGTGTTGATTTTGAACATCCCATAGCCGCCGGAGCCAACACGTCAGACGGGTGGGTGGAGTTTTCCTCGTCCCCTGCCTCCCAGCCCCGCAGCCTCAAGCCTGAACACGGCGGCGCGCCCACTGACTCTGAGGACGAGGTGGACCCCTGGACCATCACACAGGAACAGAGAGACTACTACACCGCGCAGTTCAAAACCATGCAGCCGGACCTGCACGGACTCATTCAAGGTAAGACAGGGCTTAAGTACTACTTTAATCCATAAGCAGGTTGGTGCATGTAAAATTGGAGCTGTGCAAGTATTTCTGACGTCTACCTGCACCTAACCTGCATTAGTCCATACGTTATATACAAATGTAGGTGTATGTGGATTTTTATATGCCACCTTCTAATCAATCTTGTTAAACAAATGTTGAAATAAAACTGAATTTAACATTTACATGGAGGAAAGTAAGAAAAGTTTGTCAGACTCCTTATTTCCTGACGTTTTCTGTTTTACAGGTACAACGGCAAGGGAGTTCTTCCAGCGATCTAAGTTGCCAATTGCACAATTGTCCAGGATATGGTAAGTATAGGAAAAGAAAAATTACTACTGCTACACAATGTACCCCAATGTCATATGTTATACTTACACTTTTAGTGGTTTATTTTTTTTAGCATTAGTAAGTGGTTTTCCAAGAAAGTATTAAAGGTTAACAGTCGGTATTTTGAATTATGAAGTGTTAGTAACAACAGACAAGTAGAGCAAGATGATGATATGGATATGTGATTATGGTGATACATGTACATGAACCACTGTGATGTTTTCATCCTGTGTCTAACTAGGGACATGTCAGATGTAAATCAGGACGGTGCTCTGTCCCTGGAGGAGTTTTTTGCAGCGTTTCACCTCGTGGTGGCCAGAAGAAATGGTTACGACCTGCCCGAGACCTTGCCACAAGCCCTGATGCCCAGGAGCACACAGCCAACAACAGAGGAAGGTAAGAATCTCACGATTTATTTTTTAAAATAACACTGTCAAAACTCCTTGTTGAAATTAACCCTAACTTTCGATGGTAAGTTTACAAAAATTCCAAGTTCAATTTGATAATTTTGTTCCTTCAGCAAAGCTGTATTCACAAAGACCAATAGAAATCCATTCATAGCCTATTATGCGCTGTCCTTAAGCTAATTAACAGATAAACCAACTAGAGTTCCACGATCTCATACCTTCGCCAAATGATGTTAGCTTTATAAATAAGAAATATACTAATCACCCTGATTATGCAGATAGGATCCTCGATTGCATGAATTATATCAGTCTGTTGATCATATTCTACACCAAAAGACAGTCTTATCTTAACAAAGAATGCCATTATAGCATTTCCTCATAAATTATGCAAATGTGGTCCTTATTTGAATAAGTTATGTTTAATTATGTTCACCTTCACTTAACTTTCAAACATCCCAAGTATGAAATTTCAGGCAGTTACCACTATGCAATTATAACATTTTCTCATTAATTATGCAAATTAAGTCTTCATTTGCATAATCGATATTTGCCTGTGTTTTTCTCGTTCTTAATAACATATGTTACAAGCTTGAACTTCCTATCATGGTATGCAGCTGATTTATAGAATTTCCTCATTAATTATGCAAATTACATCAATATTTGCATAATTGTAATATCATTATGTCAAGCATCACTCAAGCTACCTACATACCAAAAATCACGATGATCCATCAATCGGTTCTTGAGTTATCCTCTTTTAAACATTTGTCCTTTAAACCCCCCTGCAGTTCTAGAGCAAGCAACTAGGGGGCTCAAACTCATGTCACTTCATCCCCAGCACAAGAGCTACCTGCCATCCAAATTTCGTCACCCTAGCATGTCTGGATCATGAGATATCAAAACCGGAAGTTCAGCTGCAGTACCATGACAAGCCGCCAGGGGGCCCAAAATCTAATCATTTTGAGGTCTCATCAAGACCTACCCACCTACCAAATATCAAGATAATCCATCTAAGCTTTCTCGAGTTATGCTGTTGACAGACACACACACACACACACACATACACGAACGCCTCTGAAAACATAACCTTCTTGGCGAAGGTAATGAGTGCTGGCTAATAATTGCAGTAAGGTAATTGAGGTCACAGTTCCTGTCTGTAATACTTGTCACCTCTGTTTCAGATCCTTTTGCCGCAGCCCCTCCCATGGCTGGAGGGGGTACCCCCCCTGTCCCTGCAGCACAGCCCCAGGCCCCCCCTCAGCCCGCCCCCCAGCCCGCCCCACAGGCAGCCCCCCAGCCAGCCACTCAACCAGCACAGCAGCCTACAGGGGCTCAGGGGGGCAGCAAGTCTGCTGAGGAGGCAAGTCTCATACCTATTCACATATTACATACTACTTACATGGACGAACAGGTTGCAGTACCTTTGTAATCTGCTAGATGTCATACATATCAAGTAAATGTGAAATGAGAGACAAGTACATGACGGTAACCAGGGCCATAGATAACTGGTCTTGTTTTACAAGTTTGTACATTTGTGTTGAGCAAAATCTGGTTAATTTTGGCGCCTCCGTCTTGCTTGTTGTTTATTTACACAAAAACTGTCCTTTTCACCTATTTCCGTAGATCTTGCATATTGTTCAATGGTACTTTCTGTACTTACATGAGAATTCTGTCCTGTAGAATTGGGCCACGTTTGATGAGAACTCTTCATCACCCTCTCCGGTAGTTCAGAGCCCAGCCAACTTTGACTTTGCTGCTGTCCACCCAGACCCAGTACGTAGTCTTTGTCTTTCTCTGTGTGTTTTTTTTCTTTAGATGGCTCTTATTTCTCTGGTACTTTACCAATTTTAGGTTTACCGTAAGTTTACATAGCCATGATGATTTTTGTTAGACTGAGAAACTTTAAGGCATATATCATAGGAAGGCATTGGGTTTTGCTGTTGTTCAAATCAAATGTACTTGGAAACAATAGTGTGAACTGAACGAACAGTAAGTCAGTAAATTGACACACTCTAAATTGTGAAATATGGTCGTTTGCATGTTTTGCGGTGATCTCTCACCATGAACGTTCTGTCTTGCATTGCATTCCTCTGGTTGTTTCTGTCACAAACTGAAAACACTGTGCATGCCTCCCTTTTCTTCTACCACAAAACTAAGTGAACATTAGGTCAATCTAATGGTATTGTCTATCACCTTCTCTGAATAGCAGCTCTGCTTGTTTTGTTTTTTTCTGCAGGCATCCAAGATTATCCAGCCTGTACCAGTGAGAATGTCACCAGAGGGGCAGACATATCCTGACTACAGGCCCAGGACTTTCTCTGGTTAGTTAGAGTGGAGATCATTGATGAGTTGATTAATGAGATAATTACTGGTTTATGACACACTGCAAGGTGAGGGAATTAAGAGTAAGTGATAGTGTGGAGATAGGTAGGATAGTGTGAACTGTAATGTGAAGTAGATATAGCAAGCAGTATTTTCTTGTGACATTTTAGGACCTGAACTGAATTGAACTTTAGGTATGCTGTAACAGATGTGTTAAACATGTAGAAGGCTGTGTTTTCAAAGCTAAATACTGGTACTAGTACTGGTACATGTCGAAGGTTGTGATTTTTAAAATGAAAATGCAGCTTATTCTGTTTAAAAATATACATGTAATTGTAGAGAGTAGCCCTGCCATTGTGTAATTTTGATCCTAGAAAGAGCCTGACATGTTGTTGTTCTGTCCATCAGAACCCATCCCGACAGACGTGGTGAACTTACGCCGCGAGCGGTCGGGCACCAGTCCCAGCAAACATCCCAAATCCAGCGACACCGGCGAGAGCACGCCTGGTAAAATCGCCCCTCCCCCTCCCAGCACACGCTCCAAGAGTGCCAAATCCTCAGGTAGGAAGTTGTTGCCTTACAAAAATCTTCAGAATCTTGCAGAATCAAGAAAACTAGCAAAAACCATAAGTATACTTCTTAACACTCAAGGAGCTGACACTTTCTATATTTATTTATTTTCTTTCATTACAGATACAACATTTTTGCAAAAATGTTTAATGGCCATTTTCACAGACAGGTGCTGGCTACCATGTTGGTGTACTTGATTTGCATTTCAACCAATCATAGCTTAAGCCTGCACAGAATTTTTCTCGTATTCTCTTCTGTTGTGTAATATGTTTATAAGACGAACATTGACCATGCAAGTTTGATTTCAGCTTGTCTTGAGAAGAGGAGCTACTAACATTTTGATTGTTATTTTTCTAACAGTTTCTATCTTGTACTTGGCAACACCTGTGGAGCAGAGGCATTTTGTGGCTTAGTTTGCAAGTAATAATATGAAACAACAAGAATAGCATTCTGTTTTCTACTTTTATACTCTCACATTAACATTTTACATTTGTTTGGAAACTGAACATTGCTGTTGGCATGTGCCTAGTGTTTTTAAAATAGCTGAGTCTGAAAGTTTCCGCACCCTAGCAGAGGAAGACATGGAAAACGGAGTCCCTCCCCACAAGAAACTGACTCAGACCATGTCTGACTCCATCCGGCTGAGACCAAGGCTCGCAGAGAAACTGTCACGCCCAAGGTACCCGGTGTTCCCCCCCCTCCCCCCCCTGCCCTCTCTCAGCCCCCACTGTTTTCTGTTCTGTTATAATAATCCTCATAAAAACTATGCATCAATCTTCATTTAGTGTTCTCAAAAGCAACGTGTATCCCCCTCTTTCATATACATACACGTATTTCTATTGTGGGTTTTTAGTAGAATCTAGACTCTTGTGCCCATATTACCATTGAAACTTTTGGCATCACCTCAGAGGTATTGTTAGTACCCTTTACTACTAACTACTCGATTTTCAACTTTTTCTGAAATTTTTTTAAAAGTCTTCATTATCTTTGTCAACCGTAATCCATATTATTTGTAGGTGGATATTACCAGGATGTATTGGTATTAATTTTCATGAAAAATAGCGTAATTCTACTTGATGTAATATCATAACTATTCCCACAAAAACATTTCACAAGTAACAATTTCTTTGCATGTTTTGGTCTCTTTTTTTTCATGTTTCCTCCCCCCCTCTTCATCAGGTCTTACTCAGGAACCAGTGTTGGTGGGCATCACCCGACCCCCCTGGCCACCAGCCCCCTGGCCCAATCCGATAGCCCTACCGAGTCCCAGTTGGGGGGTAAGAAGGAGGCCCCCCTGCTGCCTCCGCCCCCTCCCCGGCCACCCCCCAGACGGCAGCAGGCCCACTCCCGCTCCGTGTCCCTAGACCTGAACCGTGTCTTCCTCCACAGGGACAGTAAAGGTTAGAGCGCGTCACAACGTTTTCTCACCCGACCTTCGTTCTTCCAGGTTGTTGTCGCTGTACACTGTAGACGTCTCTCTAGGCCCAGTGGCTAACCTGTGTTTACCCTACGTGATACTTGTAGAAACCACTAATAATAATTCTGCTCTTTCTTCTTAACTAACTCTTGTCTGTAGCAACAGGTTTGTTTCTTACTTATGTTCTGGCTCCTTTCTCTTTAGCCCGGCAAACAGACCCCCAACCCAGGCTACCTCTGCATGGGCTGACATAAGCTGGTCAGAGCCTGTTACCTAGGCTTGACTTCAGTGTGTGTTAAAACTCCTTTTTGTGTGGTGCATTTGTACTTCATACCTTTTAGCCTAGCTTAAAGTTACATAGTTTTTAGGTGTTTTCTGTAGAATATTTGATTTTCAGAACTGTTGAAGCTATTCATGCAGACTATAGTTTTATAGTTTGTTGTCTGGTTGATTTCTTTCTAACTCTGAACCCTTTTCCCATTAATGTACCCATTGTCATCATCATTGGACAAGTTCATACTTTTGCTACTACAGAGCTAAAAAGTTGATGAAAAGCAGTTGAAGAAAATCATGTATATCCCCCGATTCCCCCCTTGTAATATGCAGAAGTGTGGACTTGTCTCTATATGCTGTCATAGGCAAAATGTGTTGACCATTTTGGTAGTTGTTAACTGTACTGAAATAGGCAGTATGCTCTCCACCTAGCAGAGACACCTAGTGGTTCATGAAAAACTGCAGCCGGAAGTTTAAAACCTGTGTCTTCTTATGGAGTAGCAAAGTGTACACCCAATGTACCTTTTGCAGCTGGACGACACATTTACTACTTTGGAGATTTCTAATTTCCTAAGAATGTTAATTTTCTTTAGCTTATTGTATTAAAACACATAATGTTGCTGTTCCCTTATATCTAAGAGATCTGGTTTTGGGGGCAGCAACAAGCGAAAGTAGCAGAAGAAAAATGAAAATTCCTTCTGCATAATAAAGGTTTAATGTATCTTGTTGAAACAGGAACTCTGTTGATCCTTTGACAATATTATGGCATTAGCATGAGAAACATGAAGAGTTGATAAATCAGACTTGCTTCTCTCTATGATTTTCAAAGTTGTTTATGATGTTGTTTCAGGCAAACACCCCGCCCCCCAGCCACTAGCCCCTCCCCCTGCCGTCCCCCCCAGACATGTCTCACCAGCCACAGTAAGTACATCCACTTTCCAGCATTTTCAAATGTTCACTTAAAAGACTTAGTAACAAGAAATGACAGCATTAAGGCATATACAGCCGATGTGTTGTGTTGAATTAAAAGTTAAAATCCTTCCCACACTTTTGGTGTGTAGGGCTGTTGCCATTTCCAGTTCTACAGTCATCGGACAGTTGTGCAATTAGGGGGCTTCAAATACAAAATATTTTGACAAAAAGTCTTGTGTGGTTGGGTGGTTACTTACTAGTAGCAGTATGAGGCTTAAAAGAAAGACAAAAATGCCTTTTTTTTCCTGCTTGCCCTCCTCCAGAAGGGGCCCAAAGTGGTTCAACAGAACAGTGAACAGGCCATGCCGATCAGCCCAACCCCCAAGACTACCCCCAACAACGTGGTCAACTTTGTCACAGCTGAAGCTGCTGTCCCAACGGAAGGCCTGAAGCACAGCAGGACAATGTCACTGGACAGCAAAGCTGTGAGTAATGAACAGCTGCTGTTCAGTATCACTATAACAGTTACTGTAACATGTTTTGACAGCATTTCACTGTTTGTGTAGTTACAGGTGTCAAGATGCCAGTTCATGCCTTGTTGGTATGTTTATAACTGTACAGAATAATGTGAAAGTTGTTTGTTTTGAGATCGCATTTTGATGTATGTCAATCATTACACAAAACAAGAAATAGTGATAAAATAAACATGGGAATGTTGAAATGCAAAAGGAAGACTTTCCTGTGCTTGGTGCTATAATTATATCATGCAATTGCCAGCTGACACAAGATGCTTTAGGTATGGCTAATGTTGCAATGTCTCAGTGTCAAACTAACAAAAAATTTGCCAACCTGGACATTAAAAGGTTTGTAATAAAATATTAACAGCATGCTTGAATGGTTGTTAAACAAAGTTCTCGGATTCACAACCCAGATATATTTACCTGACAATGTTTAGGTAGTCCCTGACATACCTTCCTCAGGGCAATACTTAACATTGACAGTGAAAAATCTCTTGGTTGTCTGCAAGAAAACTTTGGTAACCTCCTAACTGCATGACTTTGTACACTCACTTGTTTGACTACTGCATATACACTAACATGCATATATTGATAGCAAAATAATAGATCTTGGGCTGTGCTTGTTTACTGAAAGGTTGCAAAGCAAGGGTCCCAATAGACAGTGTATTGGTGTCTTGGCTTGTTGCACTAAGTGCTTTGTAACTTGTTTCAATGTCTATGTGGCTAGTTTGTATACGGCATACTCACACTGATGTTGCCCTGCTTATGCCTTAGGCTTATATTGGTTTACTTTTCTGGTTGCAAGCTTTTTTGTCTTCTTTCATTTTGCTTTCCTTAGGTGTTGCTTTAATTGTGTCACTAAAACCTGTTCTGTTTTACCCTTGTTTTTTAACCCCCTAGTGATGGAGTATCATTTTTATCTTCCTTTTGGGGACAATTTGTTATAATTCGTTCTTTACAGTTTGAAAGCATTATTTGGAGTTTTTTTTCTGTTTTCTTTAACTTGTTAGTTTGATGGTCCTAATTTGTATGTGGAGGCCTAGGTTTGCTGTGTGGTTGTTTAACCGGTACAGTTGCTGTTGTTTTTTCCCCCTCCCTACTTTTCGCTTTAGGGATCCGCTTTTAGAACCAAATGGACTTTTCGTAGGTCTGTCTCCTTCCAACCCGAGGTACGGACCCACTCACCAACAAACTTGCGCATGTCCACCATCTTCTGTTTTTTTAATCTTTATTTTTGGTCATATACCCACCACTAACATGCATGGGTGAATGGCATGGTAACAAGCATGGCATCGTATGGACCATTTTTTTTCACTTCTTGTCCATTTATTTCAAACTTGTCTATTAGCCGTTGTATGTTGTGGGACACATTATTGAGCTTTGATGCTATGGACCTCAGTTTTAACTGTCAGTCTGCTAAAGCAGCCGTTTGGCACCAAATTTGGTTTTGGGGTTAGGCAGCACCGAGGAGGATAAAATCTAATGTTGTGTTGATTTCAAGCTGTGAAAACCTTCAACTATTTACAGGTACTTTACAGGTGGTTCAAATGAGAAAATGGTCCGTTTAGGTGTTAGATTAAAAGTCTTTCAAGTATTCTAGCATTGAGCTCACTGATTTGTGTGTTTGTTTGTTTGTTTGTGTATGCATGTGTGTGTGTGATGTACATCTTCATTGGTCATCATAAAACATTATGTCTTCATCTGTGTGTATACTATATATTATACTCTTGAGTCAAGCAGCAAAAGGTTTCATCTAGTTTATGACCATGTACACTATACTCTAGGCCCCAAAAAAGAGAATTATGCTTATGCCCACAGGCATATGCTCTTGAATGGTATTGGGACATATATTTGTATGTACATTTTGTACACACAATCAATTGGGTTTTAAACTGTAGTATAGCTTATATTGAAACCATAACCTGCTGTTATTGGTTCCTTCAGGATGAAATCTATTTATTTTTGTGAAAAACAACCAATGAACGGTGTTGTTGTTACAGGTTCCTTTAGCGACAGATACTCCCCCCACCCCTCCCCCCAGACCACATGATCAGACAAGTAAGTATCCATCTGCTCTTGTTATCCACACAAAATACTCTAAATTTAAAAAAGAAACTGGAACTTAAGAAAAAAATAATCATTTCATGAAATCCAAATACCTTGGGTAAAAATATACTGACAGAAAAATGTGATTTTGATTTGATGTGATTCATATCAAGAAGTTGAATGTTTCTGTGAAATTGCTACCTTAGTACCAAGACGTTAAAGAAGTAACGCAAAGGATGGACTAAAAATGTCCATTTTTTAAAATCTCTCTATCAGAATTTTACAGTAACTGTTGCTTTCTAACTGTGTAAACTATGTTTTGTAGTTGCTTGACTATATCCTACAGAATGTTTATGTCATGTTTTTGAAACTTCCTGTAATTTCTGCAGAAAGTGGAGGAGGAGACAAAGCAGAAGACACACCAGTGGAACCGCCAACAAAGCCTGTGAAAAAGGTAACTTTGTCTGTGCTCGGCACCCATCTCCATTCTATAGCCCTTGGGCCACACAGTTGTGCAAGCACTACAACAGGACAAGTCCACTGGTAGTAGTGTGTGTTCAAGTCCCATATTTTTAGTCTTAAGTGCTGAGTGAAAGCGGTATGTCCGATTTTTAAAGTCTGGTACAACCCTGTTGGGATTTGAACCCATGACCTTTGCCGTTGACAGAAGGCGCCCACGCCACCTCCAGTGAGGCCCAGGAACAGACACAGATCCGGAGAGGACAGCCAGAAGTCAGAGGTCAGACAGGAAGAACCCAGCACTAATGACAGGAGAAGACACGTGTCGGCACCCGCTACTAGAGTACCCCCCATTCCACCTCCGTAAGTCTGTCGTGTACTAAGGGTTGTTTAGGGGCACATGCACTTGTCCAAACAGTACTTTTACTTGCCCTGGGCTCTTATGGTCTCTTGTGGTCTCTTATGGGCTCTTGTGGTCTCTTATGGAATGAATTCTACAGTTTCAGTCCTAAGAAGTAGTTAAACTGGTCATGTCTGGTATGTGTACAAACTTGAAGTGTTCCATTGCCTGTTTCAGACCTGTCAGAAGAAAAAAGGAGGAGATCCAGGCCGCCATCAGGGCGCACAAGGAGCGGAACACGGTTCTGTCTCGCACCAACAGCGAGCTGCAGGGCGACCTGGCGGAGGCCACGGAGGAGCGCGTAACGCTGGAGCTACAGCTGCAGAAACTCAAGCCATTCGGGGTCACTGGCCTATAGCACTCCGCGGAGTGTCCTGGCGGTTACGATATCATACTTTGTCCAGCTTTTCACGGGGGTAACGGCGCAACCACACGGCAAAGAACCACAGCGAGCGTCTCGAGCACAAAAGCCGGATGACATGGATGAGACCCATCCACGTCCCTTTCACTGAGCAACAGATGCATTACGTCATGCAAAGCTTTAAGATTTTACCCCAGATCTTGCACAGGTACAATGCACAGGGCATGATCGTGGTTCATACTGTAATATGCAAGCAACGGTTTAAAGAATGGCTAAACCTACCGGGTTGTTTGCAATGGCAATAACAACCTCACATTTGCAAGCAACACAAGTTTGCCCCTTCCCTTAGCCCATAGAAGGTCAAAAGTGACATGTCAGAGGTCAAGGTCATAGGTAGCCGGTGACCTTTCCCATGCTTGAGTAAAAGCTGAGAGGAAAAAGAGGCCCTATTTCTCGAAAAACTACTAAAAAAGTTATTTTTCCCCACTGCCTCCCTTCTTGCTATAAATGCCAGAGATGCAAAGGATTCTCGAAACTGTTTTTGTGACAATTACATATTCGTGCCAGGGGGTAGAAAACGGTAGAAAAGTAGCGTACGTCTTTGCCGCTGTGTGTCTTCCCGTCGTCTAGTATTTTTGTGACTCGTGTGAAGGATATATCTCTCAACTCGGGCAGGAGGGTGACAGAAAAGTGTTGAAAACTTGTTTCTCTAAACTCAAAACTTGTATGCTGAAAGTTCGATTTTTATTAGATACCATAATTCTCACTATGAACATATTCACCACTCTGGACGTGTGACATGGTGCATTGGGTTCACATTTTACCCACAGTGCACCATGTTGTGCATGCGTAGTTGGAACCATGAACCCTTTTGACTTATAGATCATTCCTTGTATTTTGAAGAAACTTTCAAATGATTATCTGATTTACAATTTAAAGACACTCAGATTGCCCTTTGTTGAAGTTGAAGTAAAACAAACTTTCAACACTCTTAGAAGTAACTGTTGGTAAAATGAGAAAGAAAGAAGGCATCAGATATGTACATGTATATGGAGCATAAGAGAAATAAGGAAGGAGAGAGTATATTGTCTTTGTGCCATGTATGGAAAGAATTATGCGGTATTTCTTGTCCACTTAGATATGTAGTCAACTAACATGTACAGGGACAGGGTCATATTATATAAATATAAAAAACAACAAGACATATTGTTTCAAACAGTGCAGAAACTTACAGAATATTCCCTTGTTTTTGGGTAAGTTGACAGTCAGAGTTAAAGCTATGTCATTTCAAGACTAACAATAAGATTGTTGGATATTTTACCTATTGTTCAAGAAGGATCACGTCCAAAGTTTTATGGTAAGCAGAATCTAGAGTGCTTGTACCTACCCTCAACATACAAACATGGAACAGTCCTGACACTCGGTTCTGATAACACAGAATAGGTCATTTCTGTCAAAGAGGGGTGGTCAGGGTAAATGATTGTTATGTTGACTAAGTTAACAGTATGACCCCGAAGAGGCAAGTTCCAGTATTATGATGAAAACCTTATTTAGAAACTACAGATATTATTATTGTAGATAAGAGACTTATGTAGATAGTAGATATGCACATAGTGTAATATTTGAAACTATGAAAAAAAAGAACTAACCAAGAAAAGAGAGAGTTAGCAACAAAAGAAGAATTAGTTGAATATTATAAAGCTATATGCAGGACACCAACTGTCATATTCATTGTGGGACATCAGTTCATTTAAGAAATTTGCTTTGTTAAGAGATTTAGAAACACTGCTTGCCAAAATAGCCATGTTTACCATTATATTTTCACATCTTCCCCCCAACAATGCAAGTATACCAGAGTTTTAGCTGTGTGTTATGTTTGCCACTTTGTAAAGATGTAGTTGCCAGAGTTGAACTTGAATTTTCTTTATTTTTTTCATAGGCCACGCCAGCTTATTGTGTTGGTTCTTGGACATTTTGAGGCACAAATTTAGAAAGGTCAAAGTACTGGGAGTAAAAACTTCCTGTGCAAAACAAGAATAGACTTCTCCATAAACACCTTTCTTGTATTATTTCGATTCACCATTTTTTTATAGTTCAAGAACCAACTAATTAGCTTGCTATGGCCAAATGATGACTGTTACAAACTGCCATGTTGACAGCAACCTTATTTTTGAGTCAAGGTAAACTTTCATTTTCCCTTCCTCTTGAAATTAGAGCTGGAGTCGTCATACATGATTTCATATAGCCTTTGGATTAAAAAAAAAATGACCATGCCAGAAGGTATGTGATACTTGCACACCCCCAAAGTGCTGGTGAAATATTCCATAGTCAGAATCTGGACCAGGTAAATACTTTATAACTAAACCATATGCATCTTCAGACCATCTTTACAACTGTGAACAAACAAGAGACAATTTTTGGGGAAGGTTGCAAAGTGCACCTTTCAAGCACAAGAAGTTTGAATAACATTATAATTATAGTTTTTTGGCTGTGTTGTGAAACATACAGTTACATGAAATACAAGAGTAAGAAAGAAAACATTTGTCTTTCCATTGAAAGAGAAGTGCAATAGCATCACACATTGTTAAGAATACCCAACACGACCTATATCATAGGCATGGGTAAATAGTAGACTTATTTCCTGTATACTTTACCATAAATAATGTTTGGCTTTACCAACATTTAATAAGTAACAACTTTATTGCTTTCAGGTAAATAGCACCAAGTGTCACTGTCATGAAAAGTACAAAAGTACCCTAACCATGTATCTTGCCATTACGTTTAGTTTAGTATGTTTGTCATGAAATGATCAATAACTGTAAGTTAAGTTTGAATTCAATGGATATTAAATGTATTATATCAGTTGAATTAAATGTAAGAATAAATGGTTAAGCACTCAATGTATTTTGAATGTTACTTCAGTTTGCCAATGCTTTCTTTACCATCAAATGCAAACTTCCAGGCTCACAAATAACGAAGTGCATACTACCAGTAATTGTGTTAAACTATTTTCCTGAGGAGCAAGAAACCCAGTGTAATAATTATGACATATTGTTAAAATAATAGTATTTCATGGCAAACCCTTACCAAGTAAGTGTGGCGAGCTTGTTCTTCAAGTGTATACTAAAAATCAAAGATATGAACTCACTTGTACATTTTGTTTGCCGTGTATTATCTAATATCTTCTTTACATTATGAAGATGTAGGATGACACTGCACATTATTATGTTAGGTTTTGCCTATGATTATAGCACATGTAGTTGTTTTGACTGCAATTGACAGACGCCCAGATGTCCGTGGGATCATGAGAAGGGTCTGTCGTTTTCATGGATTAAACCAATATTAATTCATGCCATGAAGCATGACCAATCGTGCTGGTTGTTTCAAATGCCATGCCATTAAACAGATTAGTAAACCCTCTTGGATTTCTTTTGATATGATGGTTTCAGTGTGTGTGTGCGTGTGTGTGTGTGTGTGTGTGTATTGTTGCATGTGTGTGAATGCATGTGTGTTGTGGGGCTAGGTGCCTGTCCGTGGTGCTGAAATAACATCTATCGTCGCTAGGTGGCGCCATAACTACCGGTATATAGCATACTTTTAAATATAAAACATTTGTTTTCGTTCAAGTACGATCGCGTTATAGCGCCACCCACCAAGGAAAGGTAGTACTCCAATCTACCGAGACGATAACACCCAAACAAAACAAATTTGTTAGTTGTAATTATATAAAGGAGCATAGCAACACCATTTCATCGCTGCACACTATTCAGCAGAGTAGCGTTTTCACGTCACGAAAATCTTAATGGAATTCTAAGAATAAACGTACAACACAATGTATTAGGATTGATATCTGATACAAAGCGCTGTTCTCAAGAAGAAGAAAGGAGAGTGCGACATGCAACTGATATACGATGTCTACAAGAAAGCCACGTAGCCTTGTTTTGATACATTATACATCAGACCGGTGTATATCTTGTAACCTTTCTTTATTGAGTCGTCTTATCGTAGTCCTGCACCTGATCCAATGGTGTAGAATGATGTATTTATGGACTACACGCTGTCGGTCCCCAGATTTGTCAGGATGACAGCATCGCTCTGGAAACTAACGTTACCATGTCCTGTGATAGCTAGTTTTACCAACGGCTTTCTAACAGAACTATCGTAGAGTTGCTAAGGGGCCTTCTTCCAGGGGAGGTGATGCAAAATTTCCTCGAGGAAATGATATGACTGGCTTCTGTGGACTTTTACAAAAGTCTGAATTCTATGTTGTCTATTAAGGTTACGACGTACTTACTTGTAAAGTACTTAGTATTGCATACATAGTCTTAGCGCAAATGAGTTTATTAGGTAACTCCATTCGTCGTCGAATGTCATTAGTTTTCAGTTGCATCAGGACGTCATTCTGAAATACTGCTGATTCTTTTCGAGCATTCTTGTCCGATTAAACAAAAAGCTCACGTTACGTTTGACCCGAATTATCCGGCTGCCTAAGCATTTCACGGAAACGTGCCTTAATCTTCAAAACATTTCTAGGAATCAGATCCACCGATTACAATTTGACTAGTAGAAGTCAAGAATGATCAGTCTGTCTGTTTAACGACGTGGAACGAATCGATACGGTCTTTAACGTGTCACAGCACAAGTTATCTCCGAGCCATGGCAGCCGCAAATTGGATCAATGTGGCGTTTAGCAACTGAACGGTGTATGGATTGATTGGATGTGCCGTCTTTAAAATTATTTTCACACTAATCATGTCATATAGACTAACCAAGTCAGGTAGGCGACGATGTATAATGGCAGTAGAGATAGTACGTTAGATTAGTATGTCGTAGAAATCCATGTTAGCATAATAGTTTTATACCACTACATTCGGTACTAGTAGCCCTTGGGCATGAACTTGCAATGAATAACTCTATTATTGATGGAGGTGCTTGTTAAAGTGAGTGAGCCAGTCATAGGTTTCTCACGAGGGTGTAATAAAGACGCTCTGAGACATTTCATAATGACAATCAGCGCTTGTCAGATCTTAGGAATGAAGGTAATTCAAATATGTCCTTTATTCTCATTATCTCATATAGGTGACAAAAGTTGTGTCGATAAGAACTATTTCCAAAGTCACACGGCCATCATAAATGACTTGTAAACTGTTACTCGTACCTGTCACAACTGGTGCTTGTAATATTGTACTTCATAGATAGATTTACATTCATTGCCTCATATCTTCTAATATATATATACAAAGGCTGGGCATTTTGAAAGTAAAACTACCAGTTTTACTGTCCAATGCATACAAATGAACGACCAAAACTATACTAAAACGACGAATACGTTACCCCTGTCATGACGGTCATTGCACAAAAAACATTTAAGGTCCATTTGGCAATGATGCCATTAAGCGTTAGTAGCTGTCTCCTGTAAATTATTAGCCTACTTTTCTTCTCATCCTCCCCCGCATGACATTTGGGCACTATGTTCTCATCCCTTTCATCACATCAACCGAGTCTCGTGTGGTGATTTCCACTCCACGGCGTGCTCTTAAAGTTTCCACGTCGGCAAGAATTTGACTGTAAAATGAAAATTAGAACCGTTCCATGTACGTAATTATTCCTAAAGAATGCTCCGAGGGCTGTCATTATTTCCCCGTCGTACTCACCTTCCTGACTACAGTTCAAGACCCAGATGCATAACAAATGCGTGAATACAGCCTCGAGCTGCTTCTAAAACAACTACAATAGCGCGGGCCTGGCGGAAGAGACGTCGTTATGCCTAGGATATTGCAGCCTGGAGAAATAAAGCTATCAACGGATACTCTGCACAGAAATGGGGAATGACTCACTGCATTCATTGCACACCACGTTAACCCTGTAGCAATATGCAAGCCCTTCATACATTACAAATTGGACTCTAAGCGGCCCTAAATTTAGACCGTATCAATCCTAAACATACCAGGGAATGAAGACGTACTACACAGGCTGCGGCTAGCTGCATGTGAAATTCATCAGCGTTCGCAGTATATGTACATCCGAAGCGTATAGAACTTGTATCAGGTGAATAATTAGAATTTAAGGTGCAAAGTCAAAGTCAAGTCGTCTTTAAGGAGATCGATGAGATGCCTTCTTGATAATCGATTATCCGTTATTCACACGTTGAAGAAGAGAGTCTTGAAGCTTGGAGTCGATCTTCTTTCTGCATCCCTGGCCATGGTCGTATCGATCATCAAGTCTTTATTCTTTCACGGCATCTTCCGGTTTGGGGACCACGTCTGGTACATGCACGCAGACTACGTCATGCATTTGTTCTATCTCACTCGGTAGATTTGTAGACGGCGCAGTGCTGCTATAAGTCTGCAAAGGGCTTTTCCATACCTCCGTTCCATGCGCCTCACTCACGGCAATTTGGACTGGCCCACTGTCAGCCTCCGGATGTCGATGATGTCCAACGCTTCCCCTCTGCTGGCGCTCGCGGCCGCCGCTCTGGCTGAAGACAGGATACAGAATAAACACCAATCCCAGCAGAGGAACCACCGCGGAAAGTATCAGTAAAATGGTGGCGGGTATCTCTGAGATGGGGCAAGGCGGCGCCTCTACAGGCACGTTCGGCGGGTCCTCCATGGTGGAGAAAGAACCGAAGTGGAAGTGATGGAGACAGGCTTGCGGCTGCGTGCCTTACGCCTTTTATTCGCGCATGTTGGCGATGCGATGCGTATTAAGCCTGGCATATGATGTGTGGGAGCACGGGGACATCGTATTCTGAGAAAATCTTGAACCAGAATGCAAGATGCTACGCCAATCGTATTGGGCTATTCTATTCTTTAATTTCAGAAAGGGGTGAGGAAACTACCAGGCTAGGAACGTCGTTTTTTTTAGCCATAACAATATTTGGCAGATATATGTTCTTTAAAGATAACTTTCACTTACCTCACTTTCTCTGCTTTCCTCTTTGATTTCAATATTAATGATTCATATAGCCCCTCATTGAACTTGGTCATTGAACATTGAAAAATATCATGACCTAAGTGGCAAAGTAGGCGTACGCACCGACACGGCGTACCCTGGCGACGATTCTATGCACGCACGTCCATGCCAGTTCCAGGAAGGTGACCTAGAATATTTTCCACACAAGTGTGATTATGTTATAATAGCTAAGTACCAGTAATGCGCGACGTTATGCCTAACATTAAAAAGAAAGTAATGAGTGCTTGGCTGGTTTTCCGCGAACACGTAATCGTTTTAGGACTAATTCGTTTCGAGCCTGTGTTACACAAGCTATATCGGCCGGAGGTTAATGACCCCGACCGCCAGGAGCGTAAATTAGTTTCTAGTGACTCTTGAGGGTCGACTTCCAGGAAAAAGGCGGGGAAGCATTGAAACCGCAATTGGGTGAAAGAAAAAAGGGGTTCATGCTATGGGATATCTGGTAGTAAATCTATCGCATGTTGTATTCACTTTTCTCACGAAAATAGAAACTTGGAAAAGTTAGACCGCTTCAAACATGTGTTAAGTGTAATTGACATAATAACTTGCACGAAGTAAACGAAGTAAACAGCGGGGGTCCAATAATGGATCCCTGCGGTACCCCAGTTGAAACCAATATGTAAGTGTTGCAGGGTAAAAGGCAGACACATATTTGAATCACATTTTTCCTTTCTATTCATCTTAGATGACGCCAACTCATATATACAAGTGACATGTATACATGTGATTTACAGATGATAGTCATGGATTCAATGCTCATTCTGCGTTGTCATTAGCGCTCTGCTGCTGGACAACAGACCCCTCAGACGGGTGGGATACAATCACCCAGTCTGCATCGATCAATGAAGTGCTGTCTGGGCTAGAAGCTCCCTCCGACAGGCGGTGAGCGCGCGGTGGCGGCGGCAGGACCGCCGGACCTGGCTGAGCCTGAGGCTGTACAGGCAGGTCCGATGCGCTGCTCTCCGATGATCGTCGACTACGAGGTTTGATGTCTGGCATCTCCTTAGCGTAACATTCGCTTTTGATCATTCGAATGGGATTCAGGTGATGATCAGTGTCTCCGAAGACAATAGGTGTATCTGGCATCACGACCACTGGTGCCTCGGTGTTTGTGGACGGAGAGTCTATGGCAGGACTACCTGCTACATCCGCAGTAGTATATGGTGACATGTCGATGAGAATGTCGGTGGTGGCAGGTGTAGAGAAGGAATTGGCCGCTGGCTTGGCTGCAGGGGGAGGGATGCCGATTGGCAGAAGAACTGGCTCTGCCTGCAGTTGCCCAGGCTCTTCTATGAACGGGTTACCGGTGGAAAACGCCGGAGAGAGCCGACCATCAGCGCAGAGTGATGTCGTCGTACTTGCAGAAGGAGAGTACTGGGAGGAAAAGGCGACGTTGGGCTGTTGTTGTGGGAACGTGTCTGATTCAGCGTCACCAAATGCATGGGTAACGTCCAACGATGTTGGAAACCCTGTCGTATCACTGACGTCAACCTTACTGTTCACGCCCTCAGACGCTTCTAACGTCTGTTTCGTGACGTCAAGAGGCACATCCATCGATGCGGCAGCCTCCCTCCGCTCAAAGATCGCCATGTCTTCACTTGGTGTGACGGTTTGCATCTCGTAAGCCTGGCTTCCCATCTTAGAGTACTCCTCGGCGTAAATGTGGGCTTCTTCTAACTTCATGACGTAATCGAGGACACTTGCATCTACGATCGACCTGGATGCGGACAGAGGTACGGCGCACGCGCACTCTTGGCTGGACGTTTTCGGCATGGTTGCGGTTCGTTCCTCGGCGCCCTGACTCGCCGGGTCTGTGCCAGGGCTGATGTTTATGCCGGAGAACTGCACAGATAGCGATGTCGTGTCGGTGTTGCGCAGCGTGTTGCGGCGTTTGGCCCAGGGGATGGCGAACAGCAGCAGGCCGCCTAACATCACGATGGTCCCGGCCACGTAGAAGGCAGGGTGGTACGACTGCGCGGAAGAACGGATCCAACCTGATGAAAACACGAGACACCGTTCACAATGATTGCTATGTATGTCTAGATCTATATCCACCATGGCAGCGCAACAATGCCTTCGTCGTCTCCGTCTCAAGTTACAATCATTCTTAGTATTCATCGGAAATTGAAACATGTTTTTCTTTCTTTAAGAGGGGTGTCCAAAACTATGTTTTTCATTCTAGATCCCAGATGAACTTTGCTGTACTAGTATTTGAGATACGGTTATCTTAACCGTGAGACATTAATCATATATGCGCCCCAAAAGTCAGAACGTCCCAGACAGTAACTATGAAAACCTTCAGTTCTGCTTATAGTGTCTGACAGAATTTATCGTTAGAGGTGAGGTAAAAATTCAATAGCATAATTTATTTTTACCAGCAGTGGGTGGGCCCAAGATTATCGGTACGCGGTACGGGCCCAAGATTATCGGTAACATTTTTCGTACGACGTGAAGCAACAATTCATTAGCATAATTTATTCTTACCAGCGGTGGGCGGGCCCAAGATGATTGACACCGAGCAGGACCCTAACGTGAAGCCCCAGGCTAGCGACATGTTCTCCACGCCCACCAGATCGACCGTCAGGATGGGCAGCAGGGTGACGAAACAGCCGTCAAACAAACCCAGCAGTATGGAACACGTCACCAGCCCGCCGTACGTGCTGGTTATGGGGAAAAGAAGATAGTCAAATTACTTTAGGCAAAGGTAAAACTACATGCAGTTTGACAAGGAGTTGCTTCTCAAGCAAATGGAAATATATTGAGAACTGTCATGACGTTTCAAGTAGCATCCACTGCTATTCGCCAGTTTGTGTATCTCATTACATTGTACCTGGATACCTATAGTAATCTTCTTCGACGTACATCCAGTTTGATGCTAACACTCACATTCGATGTCAATGAAGCGGACAGATGCTGGCCGCCATGTTGGTGTCCTTGATTTGCATTTCAATGATGCCTGGTACTGTAGTATCATATCGCTATGCCGCATACACAAACTGGTACACCAGTGTGGTCGTCAGCACTGGCTGAGGCAGCTTCAGCACTGGAAACCTGCGATAATGTCTCACCTGCAAGCGGGTAACACCAGCGTGACCACGGCCGTGACGATCATGCTGAAGGTCTGAATGTGGAGGCGGTTCAGCTGCACCAGGAGCTGCAGTACCGGGCCGAGCAGCAGGCGGCTCCCCGCCGACGCCGCGCCCAGCAGCAGCACCAGCATCGGCCCGTCAGACACGCCCACGTCTGCGGCGTAACTCGGCTGGATTGTGGGGCAGGGACATGTCTTCATCAGTTTAACTTTGTTAAATTTCGCTATGTTTTTTCCTCTTCTCAAACAATGAGGCGCATCATATCAAGCCTAGTTTATCTATTTCTCAATGATGAATCATTAAGTATCATATACACTGAAAAGAATAAGAGCGACGCCTTTCTCTTTTCAGTTGGTTGTAATCATGTTAGTAGTACATCAGCTAAGGTCTGCAGTACTGACTTTTCTACTAGGAGGCGCTGCTGAGAGGGACTGCATGCCGTTGAACCTCGTGGTCAATAGATGACACTTCTACATATTATACTTTAGCTAGCAAATGTCAGCAGCTCTCTATTGTTTTCTTTTTCAGAGTAAATCGGTGGTACTGACCAGATGGACATAAGGGATGAAGTATCCGTACATGGTGAGTGAGATGGCGGCGGTCCAGACTACGAAGACCTCGTTTCTCCAGAGAGACAGGTCCAGCACGTAGTTCTTGGCGGGAGAAGTCTTGAAGGTCTGCAGCTGGGTGGGCTGCGCTCCTGGCGGGAGGGGGCGGTATGCCAGGGCGGCGATCCCTACAACTACCTATGGACAGGGCATAGAAATCTTGAAATACCATGTTTACTTATATTGTCAGGTCACATACACACCGTGCGATGGCAAGCTGTGGGTATCTTTGGGAAAGCCGTGCACGTACAAGATGCCTTGTTATGGAAAAGGCTGTCTTAGGTCCTTGTGGGCGATTGGTGCTATTGCAGCCTGCTTGAAAATTTTACGCTGTGACATAAAAATCATACAAAGGCCTACGACGGATGAACTTTTTGTGAATTTTGTTCAGTGAAAGCGGTCAGTTAGTACCTGCCAGATAAGGAAATATCTGATGGCGCCCCTCCAGCCCAGACTGTCCACCATAGCCTTCAGCAGCGGTGTCAGCGCCACGTTGCCGAAGCTCCCCCCAGCGGCTGCAATTCCCGTGGCCAGCGTGCGGTGTTTTTCGAAGTACCAGGTGATGACGATGTTGCCCGGGCTGTACGCCAGACTCGACCCGAGGCCAAACAGAATTCCGTACGTGAAGAAGATGACCGGAAAAGCCTCCACGATAGACGTGAGAAGCAGACCGAGGAAGCAGAGAACACTGCCCGCCATCGCCACCTTGCGGGGCCCGTAGGTCTTGCACATAGAGCCTGCGAAGGGGCCGCCAAGAAGCAGTAGACCGTAGGCCAGCGAGCCGGCCCAAGCTGTGACGGGAGAAGGTAACAGACGCACTCTGTAATGGAGTATAATCGACACGTACTTGAACTGTGCATTCCCACAGGAAAACGACGAACGCCGTCATCATTAGGCGATGCATATGGTGGTGGGAAGTTTGATGTCGGCGTATGACGCGGTCAGAAGTTGGATTCTACCGTTTAACACGATATTCACGATGTTATATTTACTTGATCAGCTTATACGTCATTCTCCGTGACTCGATCCCGAATGTTACTGGTTTTTACTCGAAACTCTTAGGCATGTTGGAATGATATTACTGTAACAGTGTTATATACATATAAAGCATATAAAGTGAAGGTACCTGCACTTGCTCGACTTGCCTCAAATTCTTCCAAGAAAGCAGGAAACAAGACTCCGTAAGACTGGTGCGTGCCGACCATGAAGAAGTTGATGAGGAAGGCGGCACCACAGACGACCCAAGCACAGCCCCTGTCCTTCCACGCCCCGGTGTCTCCGTCCGAGGGGTTGAGTTCGTCCCGGCTGTACCCGGACACCGCCACGCCGGGGTCCGCCTGGGCCGGGGGAGGACGGGTCCCGTCCCCGACATGACGACTGTACGGACCCGCTACTAAGCCATGACTGATGTATCATATGCAAGGGCGTGACCTTAACTTAGAACTCTCGTTCTAGAAGTCTCCGTTGCGCAACGGAGTTTTCGAACACTTTCTGTTTTTGTTTTGGTACAGGCGCCAATCCGTTCCTACGCAACGTTTCTTACGTTTTGTTTAAGATTTATGACGTCATACGGAAACGTCGCAAGGATGCAGATGTACACACCGCTGAAGAAAAACGCCTCCTTAGCTGCTGCAACCTAAAAACAACCAGGGCATCATCTTTTCGCTAGTCAAAACACTTGAATCAAGGGACAACATTACAACATCGCGCAGCGGACATCTTTGCACGACTTATGATACGGCCAGACGGTAACAGACGGTCCTTCATAATAAAGTACAATGAAATTCATGTGTGGTTCTAACATCTCTCCACCCCTGTAGTGTATGATTTCTGTAGTAGGGTTAGGGTTATCACTGGAAAGCTTATACGTAAACCTCCTACAAGCTAATTAAAAAGCTGTTTGACCTTCTAATAACGTTAACGGGAGTGGTCCTAAGTCCAGCAACTGTTCTACGTGTTGTCACATGTCTTATGTTACTGAACATCTGACCCTAAACCAACCAAAAATAAGTTTAGCAATATATTCGTGATTAAAGCTGTGGCAGACGTATATTTCATTTCACGGTAACGTTCTGCACTGTAGCTTGATAGGACAGCACACGATAAACCGACAGACGGTATGCCCGACGTACGATCGAGTAATTTCGTGCAGGTATGATATGAATGCGAGACAAATATTGAATTATTTAGTCCAGCGACGCAGCCAGTTTTCCGTCTAACGTATTGAAGGACGCCAGTATTGCTGCATTGGTGGCATTGCAGGGAGACGAAGCCATCTCTTATCCTACATCTAGCCATGGTCTGGTGTTTGAAAGTCATTCTTGTGACAACATGGATGATATTACACCAGCTGACGGCACACGCCCAAGAAAGTGGTAAAGTAGCGATGTATTTGTGGATTTATTCTAATGTACGAAAAGTGCTTGGTGGTTTCATAGCGAATGGACATGTTACACTTAACTATCCCCTGAATACAGTAACATACAAATGTACTGTACGTGGGACACCTACGTCTGACTTTCAAAATCTATAGTTAGTTGCTTGAGTAACAATTTTCTTGTGTATCTCATTACCCGGATGTTAAACCTTCATCGACGAACATAGGTGACTGTGATGCACATATCACCGGGCAATCTTCTGGCTTCGTTCATTCTCCCAACTACCCTGAACAGTACGACAACAACCTGTTTTGTACGTGGATCATAGAGGTCAACGCGGGGGAAGGAGTGAAGATGACACCAGTAACGTTTTCTTTAGAAGAAGACTATGACTGGCTAGACGTCTACATGGGAGACATAGACAACGTCACCATGTTAGGATCGTACACAGGTAAGTTTGTCTAAGTTCAGTTAGCAAGGAGGGTCATGTATGATCGGTGCAAAACATTATGGAGAGAGTTGTAAACTTTCAACACAAAGACAATAGACAATTTTTCGACCAGCCCCCATGGTTGGCTGAGGATCAGTTTGCTCAAACTGTGACGTGTGAATGCAACAGTCAAAAGTCGGAATCGGCTCCACCCCTGTTGGATAAATGTTAGCGGGCCCGTTTTGTAAGGTATTGTTGGGGATCAGACAGTCATCAAAACTGACTTCAAGAACTACATATAGTCTAAGATCTAGATATCATACATAGTTTCTAACCAGTTTCAATTTCTTTTGAACAGGACAAAACATTGCCGAAGAACTCTTTGTCACTTACAAGATGGCCCACCTAGTCCTTACTACGGACAGGTCTAACACCGATGACGGTTTCAAAATCCACTTTGAGGGTAATGATAGAATATAGATGTTCTGGGTGATGATTTCTAGACATTACTAATACGAAATGTCCATTTACATTATGTAACACATTCAGAGTAAATAATGCATACTGTTTTCAATTTGCTGGTAGATCACTTTACAGTCGTTAATACTGATGAATTTACCCATATTTCTATCTATTGAGTTTTCATGTGATGGTATACGTATACGTATTTCTGTCACAGGAATGTGTAAAAGGTAAAGCGCGGTTATTGATATTCATAATTGAATTGATGAATTTGTGAAAGATATACATTGCAATTGCATTTAAAGTTATCTGAAGAAGGTCCTTCTTTCCTTCAGCATTTGACTTGACGGGTTTTCCGTGCCCCGATCCTGGCGTTCCCAATAACGGCTACAGGACTGGAGACGATTTCGCTGTGGGGTCGGTTGTTTCATTCGGCTGTAACGACGGCTACGTTTTGTTTGGGCAGGAAAGACTCACCTGTATGTCTGGTGATATGAGATACTGGAACTTCAGCCCTCCAGATTGTAAAGGTATTGTTATACGTCGCGTTTTTAAGCACGTTAAAAGTGTTATGTGTATAGCTTTATTTATTGACTTTTTAAATATCTAGGTAAGCCTCCTTCAACTCGTGTTGTGTTTCAGGAGGGCCCAATCAACAGAAAACACGTTAAATCCCCCGGTGGTAAAATACACAACATTACATTCTGAACAAGCATGCACTAAGAAAAAAAAATTATCAGGTAGTAACCTGAGGGGCAAAATCAACACAGGGCGTATTCATAAGTAACATAAGTAAAAATAAAATAAAATTTGACTCAATTGACAACCATGCCATTTTAACAACGTATTATATAACATTCGAACATTTCCACACTGTCTAGCTGACTGTGACGTGCATATCAACGGGCAATCTTCTGGCTTCGTTCATTCTCCCAACTACCCTGAACAGTACGACAACAACTTTTACTGTAGGTGGATCATAGAAGTCAACACGGGGGAAGGAGTGAAGATGACACCAGTAACGTTTTCTTTAGAAGAAGACTATGACTGGCTAGACGTCTACATGGGAGACATAGACGACGCCACATTGTTGGGATCATACACTGGTAGGTTTCTATCAGATACTCGTAGACAGTCGTAACATATCGGAGTATGACAATGTTGGAAAGAAGAAATTAACATGTAGTCATATATATTTTCTGACCAGTTTAAGACCAAACGCGCTAATTTTACTCTTCTAACAGGGCAAAACATTCCAGAGGAAGTCATCGTCACTTACGAGATTGCCCAACTAGTGTTTAGTACGGACGAGTCTAACACTGATGACGGTTTCAAAATCCACTTTGAGGGTAATGAACATTTACATTTACATCAGCTGTACATCATGTACAGAACATTCAGAGCAAGTAATGCATACTGTTTTTCAATTTGCTGGTAGATTTCTTTGCATTATATAGATAATGTGATGGATTTTTCCATAGTTCTATCTATCAAATTTTAAGGTGACATCATATTTCTGTCCAAGGAAAATGCAGAAGTTAAACGTAGTTCGTAATATTCATAATTCTATACATAATGTTTTGAAAGATTTATCCTGTAATGAATCTATTTGAAGACTGTCGTCCTATCCTTTCGGTCTTCAGCATTTGATTTGATGGATTCTCAATGCCCGGACCCTGGCGTTCCCGACAACGGCTACAGGACTGGAGACGATTTCGCTGTGGGGTCGGTTGTTTCGTTCGGCTGTAACGACGGCTACGTTTTGTTCGGGCAGGAAAGACTCACCTGTATGTCTGGTAATACGAGAGACTGGGACTTCAGCCCTCCAACATGTGAAGGTACGGCAACCATGTTAAAACGTATTATACATTTGAAGCGATATTGAGATTGCTGTTGTAACGTGTGTATAGTTTTATTTGTTAAATGTGGGTACTCGTACTGGGTAATCTCCATTTCAAATGGATGTAGGCTACGGAAAGCATATGAAGTCAACCGGTAGTAAAATCGTCAGCTATCGTCAGGTAGGTTTTTGTAAATCAAAGTATAAGTCCAGAATAAATTTATGGTGGACTTAACTGGAAACCATGCCATGTTAATAACGTAAATAACATTCAAGTATTTTCACGACGTCCAGACGGCTGCGGGGGGCATATTACCGGGCAATCGTCTGGCTTGGTTCGTTCTCCCAAGAGTCCCATCTATCCTGAACTGTACGACAACAACCTGCACTGTAGGTGGATCATAGAAGTCAACGCGGGGGAAGGAGTGAAGATGACACCAGTAACGTTTTCTTTAGAAGAAGACTATGACTGGCTACATGTCTACATGGGACAACTGGACGACGCAACATTGTTGGAATCATACACCGGTAAGTTTAACTCAAAATTAGTATTGCAGTTCATGTGTGTTGGTGCATAACATCATAGAGAAGGGTTTGAAAATTTCAACAAAAACACAATGGACTCACAATTTTCTCTACCAGTCCCCTGGTCTTCAGACAGTCTTAAGATATTATAGCTTGACAATGTTTGAAGCTTGTATGTCATCAAAGCTGTCTTAAATAAGTCTATGTATTCTGGGATTTCATACATATGTTACAACCAGTTGGATGATTCTAATTCTACAGTCTCAAATTTCTAACAGGACAAAACATTCCAGAGGAAGTCATTGTCCCCTACAAGATGGCCCACCTAGTCCTTACTACGGATGAGTACTACACTGATGCAGGCCGTGGATTCAAAATCTACTTTGAGGGTACTTAATATAAAAAGCACTGATGAATATATAGTCTGACTTAAACGTTATAGAAACTACTTAGAAATGACACGGTGTAGAGCATGTTACTAACTAAATACTGCATATTGTTATTTCCGTCACAGGAGATATTAAAAGTTAAAACGTAGTTATTTATATTTTTATAACAATATTTTTTTTATAAAGAATGATGTACCCTGTATTTAAAATGATCTTAAGAAAATCCTCCTTTCCTTTCGGTCTTTGAACAGCATTTGACTTGACGGGTTTTCCGTGCCCGGCTCCTGGCGTTCCCAATAACGGCTACAGGACTGGAGACGATTTCGCTGTGGGGTCGGTTGTTTCGTTCGGCTGTAACGACGGCTACGTTTTGTTTGGGCAGGAAAGACTCACCTGTATGTCTGGTGATATGAGATCCTGGAACTTCAGCCCTCCATCTTGTGAAGGTAGGACATGCTAACCTTCTTCCCTCCATGAAAAATGGAGGTTATATTTTCAGCTAAGTAACGTTTGGTGTACACGAAGAAAACATGTGTTAGAAACACGTAAAAAGAACGTCGGGTATTCAAATGAAACTTGTAATGATAGCTCATATCCTTTCCGGTCCTGTGTATCAAAAGACTCTGCGTGTGCTGAAGGACGTGACATATACGAAAAGGAGGGAGAGATTGCGTCTCCACAGGACGTACGGACCGGGAAGTACCAGGATAACGTCGACTGCAGGTACAACATACTAGTAACATGTAAATTTGTCCATGCTTGTTTCAAAAAGTGAGAAGAGATCTTGTAGATATAACTTTAGACGTAGCACAGTAATGTAGCACTTGTTCCTCCTACCCTTATACCTCAGTTATCTAACACAGTGCATTGTATGGCGTGAATATGCAATAGAGTCCATTGTCATCCGTATCGTTATAAAGCAAATATATCAATTCTTGACGGCAACGTCCAATGGAGATCTTCATCCTTTTATATCATTGTCGTATTGACACTTTCCAAAATCACAACTAAAAGAACTACTTTTGTTCTTTTTAGCTGGATATTAGTGGCGGATCCAGGAAAGGTTGTCGTCACAAATTTCTCGCAATTCGACATAGAATTTGAGTCAAGATGCAGATATGACTATCTTCGAATACAGGACATGCCATATATGAGTAAGTTGGTCAATTTATATTACTGATCAAGTTACAACTAGAGTTGTCTTTTTTTCTATTTGGATAAAGCCATAACTTCCTATTGAATACCATATCCGTGAGCACGTCCTTAAAGACGCATATTGCTAACGTTGAAGAGGTTCATCAGTCACGTAGAATTAACAGTTAATAGAAATTCTTCAATCAGTGACTGTATTTAAAGGTAAAAACACGTACCTCCAAATTTTCGGTGTCGACTGTACACCTTTCTCAAGGAGTGACCTAGTCTCGCGAGAACACGAGACTAGGTTGAGACTTGTGTGGATCTTCTGACCTCCCCCGCCTCCTTGCGGAGTAGGGGTAGGTAGGACTTGGGCAGCTCCCAAGCATATTGCTAATAAATAAAAGTTTTGATGACATTTCACTATCTTTGTACTTTTATGACTTTCAAGGCTTTAACCAAACTTTCTGCGGCTCGTCTCTACCTCCCGTGTACGTGTCGATGGCATCTGAGCTGAGAATTCATTTTCATAGTGATGAACACACCTCGGGAACCGGTTTCATACTTCATTACTATCTGCAGGACAAGTCTGAAGACGGTATGTCACGTTGAAGCTTTATCATTATTGCGAATTTAGCACATTATATGTATGAAGAAAAAACTTTTAAAAGTCTTTAAACTTTGAATGATACTTAATCTCTAAAGGAAATCATGAGATCATTGTGTCTTAGCTGTACGTGGACCGTTTTGCGTGGATGGAAAGTAACGAGAATCGTTTGTTTTTATAAGATCTCCAAGGGTTCCAACGGATACACCATCTGTCAGGAGACACCGGCACGTTCTCGTCCATGAACTACCCGCACTACCCCTACAGGAACCACGTGTATCAGCAGTGGAACATTATCGTAGATACACGCAAGGCTGTCAAACTGATTTTTCTGGACTTCGATGTTGACTTTGACCCGGAATGCAGTAAAGACTATGTACTGGCTGAAGACCCTTTTGATCAAATACATTACACTTGGTGCGGCACTTGCGTTCCCCCGCCGCAAACCTCGGCTGCTCACATCCTTTACGTCATGTTGGTCACAGACTTTGTGATCCGCAGAACTGGGTTTTCAGCACGATATGAAGCGGTGGACAAGGGGCGAGGTATGGTGTTTCTTTACACAAAATCATTTTGCAGCTATATTGCAAAAGTATGGAATATACGTTGCCTAAGATGTCTGAAAATGTATAATTAGTTGAGTAAATAAATACAACCTTACCAACGTTCTTAGGATTTTATTTTCATCCAGTCTTGTTGAGCATTAGCACAATACGGAATGGATTTGATTTGTCCTTTTCCGGCACATTACAGGGCCTCCTACTCCAGATATTCTTGCCTCTACATCTGATTGGTTCTTGGTGAGTGACAAGATCAAACAAATCAGCGTCAGTTCCTCCACCAATCAGGTGTGGGCTTTGGATGACGTAGGCAGACCGCTGCGCCGCACGGGGATTACCAAGATGGCTCCTCAAGGTACGTATCTGGCCTCAAGATGGACTCCCTCTATCTATCACAGACACAAGGATGCTTAGCAGCACTTTGCCTCTCTCCCACAGACACTTTCATGACCTTTTACTAGCTCCTTGTTCCATCACTGGGAGATTTTCAGTGGTGGATATGGTGCTTTTCTAGCTCACATCATTACACTGCTAGTAAAACACTGTGAGAGGCCCAAGCCAAACAGTTAATGCTATTCCATGTTATAGTTAGCCTGGGTACCATCTTGGTGGCCCCTGGTTAGTTTACGTCCGTTCCCACAGTCGCAACCGACCAACCAGCGACTGTGGGATCGGACGTAAACCCAGGCTATGTTATGGTACTGTCTACCACGGTGTCAGATGTATCGTTATTTTTGTCTCCTGTAGGTACGGGGTGGGAGGTAGTTGGTACTGAAAGGTTTCTGCAGATCTCAGTAGGACATGTAGGGGTGTGGGCAGTCTATAACCACAATACTGTCGTGTACCGGGTAGGAACGTACGGGTGAGTAACGGTCTTTTCATATTCATAGTTCGCCTGCTAACCATACCACATGTGTCTGGAGCTCAACGACATTCCTACGTTGTTAGGGGTGTTCACTGCAGGAAATGATATTGTTAAGTACACCTTAAAGCATGTGTAAAGGTACACGCCAGAGTATTTCCGAAAAGAATGGATTTGTAAGTATGCTACTCGCACGCCAATTTTCCTAGCTCACGCCAGGGAATTTTTAATGCGTTGGTTTAAAATATTTCGCTACGGGACGGTGGCTGTAAAGGTAGGCTGTCAAGAAATGGCCTACTATAGAGATCGATATCGGCAAACCACCCCTAAGCCGGCCCGTAAGAATGGTTATCAGGCGCTAATATTATTTATTATATCTGTACATCTTTTTTAAGAAGTGGCTTTTTTTAGAATACGAGAGTAATGAAAATTGTTCTTAGTTTCTGTGAAATAACGAATTTTAATTTTCTGTTTATAGGAACAGCAAAACAGCTGGAACCCACTGGCAGGCAGTACATATCGGCCTTGTCACCAATTTTCTTTTCAACTTCGAGAAAACACCACGGGGTTATAATTGGATACATGAGATAGACCAGATACATTCCGGAAAGAATGTACTTTGGGTCATTGGAACCCAAGATTCGTATATATACGGAGACACCATAGTCAGGAAAGGTACGTATAAACTATGATTGTAGCATGGTCTAAGGGAACAGTAACAACCGCAACAAAACTCAGTTATTCCTTGTATTTTGCATTATGTCATACCTTTTACTGCGTTCGTCATCTTTGTTTCTTTATACCTTGTGTTATGTAATTCTTACCTCCATGAAATGTGTCATGGAGGTTATATTTTCAGTTGCGTTTATCTGTCCGTCTGTCCGTCTGTCTGTTGGTCAACAAGATAACTCAAGAACGCCTGGATGGATTGGTTTCATACTTGGTGTGTTGGTAGGGTGTGACGAAAACTGGAAATGATGAGATTTTGGTCCCCCTAGTGGCTTCCCTTGGTACTGCAGCGCAACTTCCGGTTTTGATATCTCGCGATCTGGACATGCTAGGGTCATGAAATTTTGATGGAAGGTAGCTCTCGTGCTTGAGAAGAAGTCATATGAGTTTGGGCCCCCTAGCGGCTCGTTCTGGAACTGCAGGGCACTTTCTGGCGAAATGTTTAAAAGCCAATAAGTCCAGACAGGAACAACATATTTTCATTATTTTTGGTGTGTAGGTAGCTGAAAAAGAGATGTACATGATTAAATGCAAATTATGCAAATGAGGACTTTATTTGCATAATTAATGAGGAAATTCTATAATTACAGTGTTTTACATTATCTCGTGATCTGGACATGCTAGGGTCATGAAATTTTGATGGAAGGTAGCTCTCGTGCTTGGAAAGAAGTCATATGAGTTTGGGCCCCCTAGCGGCTTGTTCTGGAACTGCAGGGCACTTTCTGTCGAAATGTTTAAAAGCCAATAAGTCCAGACAGGAGTAACATATTTTCATTATTTTTGGTGTGTAGGTAGCTGAGAGAGAGATGTACATAATTAAATGTAAATTATGCAAATGAGGACTTTATTTGCATAATTAATGAGGAAATTCTATAATTACAGTGTTTTACATTATACTATGTAACCTATGGCAGGCGGAACTTCAACAGATACTAATTATGCAAATGATGACCTAATTTGCATAATTAATGTGAAAATTCTATGATTTCGTAATGGTGAATGATGAGAATGTCATACTTGGGACATCTGTAAGTTAATCAAAAGTTAACATACATCACGATGCATATATCATGTTAATGCAGAGGTCATTTGAACAATTAAAGAAGAAATTTACATTTACATATCAAGATCATATTTCATGGAGGTATGAGATCTCGGAATTCTAGTTATCCGTATTTCCTTTATATTGGATTAGGTTTCGTTAATTTATCCCCTCATTATATGTAATCGGTAGCATTGAAATAAGCCTTAACCCTATTCAGACCGGGGGGGGGGTGAGGCCCGCGCCCATGCCACTTTCATCTCAGATAGCGCCTGAACGGCTTGCGCTAGAACCGTCAAATTACCTATGCCCAGGCCGCAGCATGACATCGTACCTAGTGTTTGTTTGCCAGCTCGCAAGCCTGGAAGCCAGGCTATAATCGTTTTACTTTTTTCGCCCTCCCAGGCATTAGCTCGGAGACGCCTGGAGGGAAAAGATGGGAAACGACAAGAGCAGTAAATATGAAGGAAATCAGCGTCAGCTCCAGGACTGGGCAGCTGTGGGCGGTGGAAAGAGGCTTCAGAGTACTGCGTGCACCTTTCTACTGTGAGGTGACAGGTAACATAACAAACATTTATGCATTTAGTAACTTAACAGAAGAGCAATTTTCCTAAGCCAAGAATTATAGTTATATTTTGGGGTCTGTCTGTCTGTTTGTTTGTCTCTCTGTGTAGCATAACATACGTGTATGTCGTCTTGATATTTAGTTTGTCGGTAAATGAAATGATTCTGGGCTTTCCATGGACCTGTGTCTCGAGATTCGTCATGATCGTCATAATGCACCTGCATAATGGTAGATAGTACGTATTCTGGATGTTTTGTCCCTCAGTACGTTGCTCACCTACACGGTGTTGATACAGCTACATTCTTTGCTACACATTTCTTTTTCCTATAGTGAAATACGACTGGGAATCAATCGATGGCTGCAAACGGTCTATATCCGTGGGACGTGCAGGGGTTTGGGCGGTGGACAGCTCGGGCGAGGTGTATCACAGAGCGGGGACGTTTCTGAATGAGACGTCCCGCGGTGAAGGCTGGGTGCGTGTGCCGGGTGTAGCTCTGCAGCAGGTAGATGTGGGAGATGGAATCGTCTGGGGTGTGGACTTCGACAACCGGGTGTTTGCAAAATTACTACCGGCGCCTACCGACAGGGCAACGTGCCAAGTGGGCCTGAAAGGGCACTCAGCGTGCTATGCAACACTTCAGGGTAACCCTACTCTGTTACCCAGATATTTAAACACTTAGATTGGTGGTTCCCTTAAAATCTAAGCATGTTTTCATAATCTACAAGGTGTAATATCTTTGTGTGTCGCTACATCGATAGTAGCGTCATTACCAAAGAGACAGAAGAAATTAATCATATCATAAACACTGTATAACATGTATCACAGTCATCGCCTGATATTATTTTTCCTCTGCTACTTTGAATAATGGCTTGATATACTTTTGTATCAACGATATCTTCATATGTAACTCTAAGTTTTTGTTTTGCCAGAAAAACGTCTGTGTGCAGAGGACGAGATTGTTTGCCCTCACAGTGAAAAATGTATCCCAGAATGCAGTGTGTGTGATGGCGTTGTGGACTGTGGGGTTGATGACGACACTGACGAGAGAAACTGCTGTACGCTCACGTTCAACACACTTCTGCTTCTTTCTTTGCTGTGGATTATTATTTTCTAATTAAATTTAACGAGAATGACACCAGATTTGATAATTAGTATCACCAACAATTGTCAGTAATTCAATGCAGGCAGTCATTGTAGCTATTGCTGTTTAATGAGTATGTTTACCGAAGGAAAACATGTTGTTTTAGCTCTGTTTCCACTTCTTCTACGGTCCTTCTTCTTCAAATCAATAAGGTCAATGACCTGAACTAGACATCTGTCACCATGGTATCTAGAGTTGGGCTACATCATGTTGCAAGTTTATGGCAAGAGGGATTTAGACTTCTGCCTGACCATATATGAATGTGTTTGAGTAAGAATTAACAGAGCAGACCATATGCGAGGGTAAACATTAATTATATTTGCTTTGCAAATGTTACCTGTCTAGTTAAGATTAATGTTAATATAAATATGTCACCATTTTGGTTCCCAGGGTTTGCTGCCTGCCCAGAGAAACGCAGACGGATGTGTAACGGAGATGTCGGCTGCTACAGCCCCATCCGTGTGTGCGACGGCGAACGGAACTGTGGGGCAGACACGGAAGACGAGAGAGACTGTCTAGGTACAGAGAAACCTACATACATCAATCAATCAATCAATCAATCAATCAATCGATCGATCAATCAGTCAGTCAGTCAGTCAGTCAGTCAGTCAGTCAGTCAGTCAGTCAGTCAGTCAGTCAATCAATCAATCAATCAATCAATCAAAATCGTTATTGAAAAAAAAGGCGTGGCAGCCAAAGGCTGAATTCTACATTTTGTACGTAAAGTATATTGCACTTAGGTTATTTTCAAAAATATTTACAGTATAGTATTGAAATAATGCATTGACGTACATTAGCATGTGCAAGATAAATGCACCGATGTCCTAATATATCATGGTCTGTGGTCAGTCGAGGATGGATACACTAACATGTCAGAATGCCACAAATGAGTTGTTTGCGTGTACTTTCCAGACAGCTGCATTTTTCATGCCAAGCGAGATGAATTTCTCACGCGAGAACTTGTCCAGTGCCGTGATTTGAAAGGCTGCGTGAAGATCACAAACGTTTGTGATGGCAAGAAGGACTGTTCCGACGGCTCGGATGAGATCAGATGTGGTGAGAACTTTACATTACTTAGTAAATCTTTTTTCTGTTTGTAGAAACTAGTGGGATTGTATAGGTATCAAATATGGACACAAGGATCGATTTAACTTTTAGTATGGCACATTGTGCCAAGGAGGTTAAAAGTCAAAGCTCGTTGATTGTGCACAGCTGTTTTTAGAAAAATGTACGTCTGACATGTAGAATATCATTGAAGGTTATGACGGAGAATACACAATTTACTCGTCTTCAAATGTTTCCCCATTGAATGGCTTTTTTATCTTGGAAAGACGAATTCTGCTCCCTCCATGGTTTATTCGGCGACAAAGCCTTCTGGAAGTGCCGTGATTCCCCTGGTTGTGTTAAGGGAGAATTTCTGTGTGACGGCATTCCTGACTGTGAGGACGGATCGGACGAAGACAACTGTGGTAAGATTAATATTTTCACATTGTCATACTTTGCTGCATTGTTAGTAAAACGTTGAACACAAGGATTACACAGAGACAAATTTTTAACGACCACTGTCGCCTTCAACACGATAATTAATGACCAATCACTTTAAAACGTAATTACGCGAGACTTTACTAATACGTGACGTAAGCAATTGATCAAAAGTGACAGGGAGTTTATATCGTCATTGACGGTGATGTGTTTGTCATTGACGATATAAACTCCCTCCTGTCAGGAATAAGTGGTGTGGGTTTTGTTTATCCTGTTTTTTGTCTCCCTACAAACGCAAGACGAAGTGTGTGAGTCTATCGGATACTGGCCCTGTAGGTCATCACTTCCACCATTTCCCAAGTGCATCAGTCGGCAGGAGAGATGCGATCGCCATGCGAACTGCAGGGACTTCTCAGATGAAATGGATTGTGGTAACACTGACTCTGATTTCTACTGCAGACCTTGTAAAATGTTGTATTGTGATGTAGAATCACGGAGACAGTAGATGATGGTAAACTATGTATTCTAGGATTGTATGTGTTAGTGGTACAGACGTCATGTCGGATTCATGTCAGACTTAATGTCGTGTACAGACATGGCTTCAAGCTAAGGTTTCAGTTATTTTGGAATTCGTAGCGCCAAGAAGCATTTCTATTTTGATTCACTTGTGTTTAAATGTTTAACAGGTTACTGTGGACATGATGGAATGACTGAATTCGAATCGGCCCCTACTACTGGCATATATGACAATATCCAGCATATCGACTGCATTCCCATGGACCTTATTTGTGACGGAAAGTGGGACTCTGGTGACTATCGTGAGGAAACCGACTGTACTCAAGGTGCATCCCGATCTATCTATCTATCTACCTACCTACCTATCTATTTATGTTTACCGAAGAAATTGTTTTTGCTCAGTTTCTTCTTCTTCTTCCGTTTCAAACAAATAAGGTGCATGGCCAGGACCAGGCGTCTGTCACCATGGTAACTGGTGTTGGGTTACATAATTTTGCAGGTGCCATCGTCACCATATTTATGAATGTGTTTGAGTAAGAATAAACAAAGCAGTAGTTTGTTTAGCTGGACCATGTGAAGGTAAACATGATGCATTTGCTTTGCAAATGTTATCTTTCTTGTTATTCGTCTGTATTACGTCTGTATCACGTGCAAGAACGGAAATAGAAATTAGAAAACGACGTGTACTTGACCTTGATCTTACAGGACTGGCCCGACCGTGCGAAGGACGCTGGGAGTGGAAATGTCCTGGAGAAAACACCTGTTTGCCAGACATGTTCGTTTGTAATACTGTACTGGAGTGCTCAAATGGAGAGGACGAAAAACACTGTGGTAAGTATGCTGTTTTCTAGCATGTAGCTAGTACATTTTCTGAAGTTCTGGCAACCGCGCATTGTTGATGTTTTTATTACCTCCATCAAAATCGAGGTATTGTTTCGGATATGCCTGTGTGTGTGTGTGTGTGTTTGTGTGTGTGTGTGTGTGTGTTTGTGTGTGTGTGTGTGTGTGTTTGTTTGTGTGTGTGTGTGTGTGTGTGTGCTCGTACGTGTTTCCACATATTTGTGATTAGCATAACGCAGGAAGGCATGGGTGGATTGAGATTTTATTTATTTCCGGTAAAACTCATAATTTAATACAAGATGTAAAATGTTTATACTTGAAAACAGATGCATACTGCGACTCCATTGACGGATGGAGGTGTCAGTGCGATCAACTGACACAATGTTACCTCCCATCGGAAATTTGCGATGGCGAAATGACGTGTTTCCTCTACACGACAAGACCTCTGCAGACGCATGAGGAACAGGCTTGTTATGATGACGAAGCAAACTGCGGTAAAGTTACCCTTTGTATTGAAACAGAGAATAGAAATAACAGCCTCCAGTCCAGTTTGATTCCGAGTTCCCAGTTTAATTCCGGACTAATTCCCATATCAGCAACTTTACATCTAGATGGGCTAATATCGTAACTATAGGTAAAATGATATAAGAAATAAGTAGCAGCCATAAAGGACCTTTTAAGGATTAATTACATTTATCTATAGTTTACTATATTTGCCCATTTAGATATGTCAAGGTTGCTTAAATATGGGGATTGGTCCGGAATAAACTGGTATTCTATTAACACGTTCAACTAAGTTTAAGCTTTGTGCTTTCATCATTGTTAAAGTTCATGAATAAAAAAATATAAATCAACAATAGGGCTTGTCAGCTTGTACGTAATAGCTTGTTCACTACATACCGTGTCAAGCCATGATATTTTTGTCTTTCGTCGATTGCTATGTGATCTATGAACTATCAATACCATTCCTTCACTTTACAGAGGAGTATTGCGACTCCACAGGCCGCTTCCACTGTCCATTTACCAACAAATGCATCGACCATGATCGTGTTTGCGACGGTATTCCTGACTGTATTCGTCATCAGGTCGAAGGAGCCTACAGTGTCCCACACGATGAAGCGAGTTGTGGTAAAGACTATTTGCTTGTATCTATTGCTTTTGTCTACTCAAATCTGTTGCGTTTTACATAATCTTATCTTTGCACCGTATTGTGAATGTAGAAACGTGTACCGTGGTTTACCTGTACTGAGTCGAAGATGCTTTAAGTTATCATTTCCTTAATACCTGACAATGATTTTTTTTCTCTTTTCAATGACAGCTGACTGTACTGGGGTGTGGGCAGCCCTAAGAGCATCAGTTACACAATATTTAGCAAAATTAGTATCCCTGTCCAGGTTTGATCCATATCCATATGCCAAAGAAGACGGTGTCTTACACGACTATCTCTGCAGCACAGGAGAGTGCTCTTCGAGTTTCTTTTTCTGTGATGATTCAACACTATTCGGATGCAGTAACTGGGAGGACGAGCAAGGATGTGGTGATTTTTCTTTATATATATATAT